TCAAATATTTATAATCATAACTTCACGCCCGAAGTTAATAAAAAAGCTGCTTATTTGTACAGCTGACGTTAACAAATTTTGTTGAAAAAAAATAAAACAAATCAGACAGGTGTGTCCGACCGTGGCCGAGCTGTTTATGTTTTCTGAATTCAAATCACTTGAACTGAACTGCTATGAATTCGAAAACCACCAGGGACTTTTTATTCTTTCGTGTGGAAAACCTATCAAGCTAGTTTAAAAATGTCGATGGTTCTCTGCAGGTGCAACATTTTGCCTGAAATAATGCACAAAGGCGGACCTGAGGTCCTCGCCCCTAGTAAAGCTAATGTGTAGAGTGAAAGTTTGAAAACAAATCACAAAAAAAGCAGTCATTACCCAGAATATGCAGAACCATAGTAAACTTAGAGCGTAGCTAGCCAACATGATTTCAATTTGATAGATTTCTATATTTTTTGCGAAAAAAATAGGGATAATATTGAACATACAGGAAAATGTAAGAAATTATTTCAGATATTATGATCAATTAGGTAACATGTTTAACTGAAAAGTAGCTTCCGCAATGTAATCTTTCAAAGTAAATGTTATATTGGACATGACACAATGTATTCTAAATAATCAAAAGCAACAGAACATTGCTATACACCGCAAATGATCTGGGGGATTTTTTCTAGCACAAGTGATTATTCCATAAAATAGACATATTTTGCCAAAATTATCCCTGTTGAAAAGACTGCCAAAATACAACTGCGTCGTATCATATTTTATTTTCAACTACGTCGTATCATTTCGTAAAAATCATTATTTTCTAAGAAAATAAACATCTCTTTTAAATGAAATTTTAGTAAATGATGCAAAATTATATTTCGAAGTTTATGGTGAACTCTAAAACAAATATATAATTGATTTGAAGGAAAAACGATGGATAAATCAATATGAACTGCGTCTTATCCACACATTTTCATAAAAAATTCTGCCCCGCTTCGAGTTGCAAGTTCGCTATAACTTTTGTTTTACAAAATAGTTGTGCAAGCAACATATACCGAACGAAGCGGAAAATAGTGTAGCGTGTTAATAAATATATATGGTTTTCTGTCATTTCCAACAAAAAAGTTATAAACAAAAACATACGTTTTTCGTTCCAAGATGGCGGCTTTTGTTTACATTTTGTAGGATACGACGCAGTTTTGATTCCCAGCCCTGTAGAAAGTCATGTAAATTTCATCACATTTAGTTAAGTAGTTACTAAGCGGATGAGATTGCACACACATGTGTACGACAGACGGACGAATAACCATCGGGCCAATAAGCTCACAGAGATTTAAAATCTTTGTAGCATTCATACATTTTACCTAGTATATATAGGAAATATCGAAGTCTAAACTGTAACCGAAATCTGGGTATAAACTGTAACAAAATCGGATAAAAATCGCTAGGTCTATGCTGTATCCCTGCTCAAATCACCTCACTCTATACTGTAACATTGTTTATTTTTTCAAACGCATTTAACGAACAGGAAAATAGTTTCAACTGGTCATTACTTTTATAAACGTTTCCTAACATAAAGGACTAACGTTTTGCAGATTTACTTTTTCTAGGCATGCATAAATAATGTCGAAATTGGAGAAAAATGCGTTGGTCTCTCGATTCAAATTTTCAAACTGTCAAATCTGCATATTTATGAGACAATATAGAGATAAATCTGCGGTGCAGTGTCTGAAGAAATATATGACTAGATATCGGATTCTGTTCCTTACAAGCAAAGCACAAAAACATCTTTTAGAAACTAAACTACTTGTAGTATGGACCGGAATAAAAATCACCTACCTGTCCTCCCAACAAATAATCCCCGATCTTTAAAATTCTATACTGTAACCGGAAAACGCGATACTGTAACAGGTTCCCTAAGGTGTTAATGTAACATAAAAACATGGAAGTAAAGCCCTGATCCCGTCTTTCTCTTTCACTGTCGATACACTTACATCTTATTCCAGTCGGATTCTTAGTCGGATAAGACGTAGTCAAACAAGATCTAAATGATAGTGTTCTGGAGGCCGTTTTATCAACGCGCTACGACACGTCGTAGGCTACTTTTTGTCGCAGACATGTCGCAGACATGTCGCAGACCGGTAAAGCCTCTATCACATCAGCCGCACGAAATTTGGTTCGTACGATTTGTTGAGAAATCTGTGCCGTAGAAACGTCGCAGGCAATTTCGCAGTATATCTAGAGAGATTCGTAGATCGTAAGGCAGGCGTACGCTGTTCGTACGGCGGCCGCATTGTTCTCACGATATTTATATGCTTGAAAGTTGTACAAATACCAACAACATTTCGTACGGTCGTCGCAATCTGACCGTGCAACATACGTGCGATTGCTAAGACAGTCGTAAGGCAATCGTACGACATTGAAAAAAATCGCATGGGCACAGCACGCCCAACAAGAATTCGCAAGGCTGCCGCACGGCTGCCGTACGATGTATGCACGAATTTGAAAGTGAGGATTGAATGCAACACCATCATTAAAGTGCTCCGTATTGTTTCAATCAAACCAGGACGGTCATTCAACCACAAATGTTGCATTTGAGTATTCTAAGACGGAGACTTCGTACCCAATAGTTCTGGCATTGCTTATTAAAGCGCAACATGGCCGGAGAACACTCTGCGTAAAACCCCGGCCCGTGTTCAGTAAGAAAAGAACAGGATCAGGATTAAATAATATTTTCATTGTTTTATGAAACTAAAATTGATGATACTTTGCTAGAATTAAAACTTGAACAAATACATAAACTTACGGAGAGAGTTTCTAAAAAAGCTTTTCAAGCTTCCTACTCAATCCCATGAATCCGTACAAGTTATTATTGTAAATGTAATGATTATAAATAAAATATTGTTTAAACTTAATACATAAACTCATGATCATGTTGAAGTTTTCTAACACAATTAGTTTTATTTTTCACATATCACATAGATGAAATACAAAATATTACATAAAGGCAATCAACTAAAATGACATTCGGTACTGCCTCGGCTATTATCTATAATAACCTCGGAAACAATACGGATTGAAAGTAGTTCTACCACGTGGTTTCAGATGTAAACAGAAACAGATATAATGTAAAACGAATGTATATATTTGACATCTCATGTCTGTTCCGGTACTCTTATGCTTGAAAATATGTCTGACAACAATTTGTAATTTAAATATGCCCACTGATGTTCAATTTTAAACAAAATGTCAACAGGTTGGTTTTTGTACTTTCGGATTCTTCAACTTTATAACTTAATAAATATATAAATAATGTATTGTTTGCTTTTGTACCTATGAATTCACTTATTTTAGGTCGACTTTTACTACATATATTGGAAATAAACTTGTCAACAACTCCCAGCATTAAATTACTATTTGTTTACATGTTTAGTTTCTTAGCGTAGGTTAGACCGAAATACCGCATCCGTTCTGTGTATTCGAGGTCCTTATCCGAAGACTGACGGAAAGGGCCGAGTAGTTGCAATTGCTATAATGAAATACAAGAAAAGCATTGATGCAAAGCATCAAAGGGCGTCCAAGCAAGAAATGCAGCAAGTGAAGATGAACTAGTACACATATGATGACAAGATATTCTTATAAACTACCAGAAATGTATATCACTTATGAATAACCGGACGAAAGACATTGTTCATTATGAACTTTGATTGGCATGCTAGAGATTAGAATATTACTTGTTATTTCTTTATGATCGTGGTTATTAATAGCAACGGATATACATGTATGCAATCATTTATAATCCATATGTGTAACGCATGATAAACACGTACCACACCTTTGTAATTGTCCCTTATCATGTTATCGCTATTAGCGAAGAACCCCTCTTAAGGTATCTGTTCACACTTTAAGTTAGTAATAATATGACACTGGTTATATTACCATGTTGATCATGTTGAGCATAATTGTTTATTATACAATAATTGTAATATCTATTAATTTTAATAAAAAAAAAAAATACAAATTTTATGAATATTGTTTTCTTTTCTTTTTTGTGTTTTATGTGCTATTTTAATACTGAGTTTTTACTACTTTTTTTTATTAAAATTGTAAAATAAATTTTAAGAATTCAATTGTCATATTGACCGACGATTATAAGTCAAAGCTTAACTGGAAAAAGTCAGTAAATTATGGTTTATCTTTTAATATATAATATTGTTTATTTTTAAACCATGTACATGTACATTTGTATTTTTCTTTATCATTTTTTAAATTATCAATCAATTGAATAATTCATAAAATCTAATTTGTAACTTTGAATAATTCCTCGGCATCTTTACTAAACACGGATAACAAATTAAATAAAATGTTTCAAAGTTGATAATGTCATTTTAATACCATAAAAATGTACCTTTTTCTCAATTATTGTACATATCACATGTTTTTATCTCATATAGATAAAATGAAACATGCTATTGTTGTTTTTTTTTCTAATTGTAACGATATCAAACATCTACTCCAAAACCGAGAGAGACCGGACAATAAACGTGTGGTACTATTCGCCGGTCACTAGTAAATCCCGGTCAAAATAGACCGGGAGAGACCGGTAATTACCGATAGATATATCTATAAATAGATTTTTGGAATATTTAGGTCATCAACTGATCTTTCTAGGATACATGTACAACAATAACATACCATGATAACCCACTGTGTACTACAAAATGATAAATAAAAAACCCCGAAGAGCGCGATTTATTGACGGAAAAGGTTATTTCATTTGAAAATGTTTGCATTGCGAAATTCTCCAGTTCGCTATTCATTGTAACATATCGCGACCTTTCATTCTTAATTAATAATCAAGCACCCTCATACCGATCGGAATGATCGGCTTTTCTTATGACCGACTAAAAGGCTCGAGAAGTTGCTGTCGCCCTTTCTCATTCCATAAGGGCGCCGCGCTTCGGCGCGGACGCCAATTAATCAGTTCTTTTCGCTCCTTTAATTCCTTTCCGTCGAAGCCAACCGCATTTTCTCGGCCCTTTCATGATTATGAATACTAGAGGAGGTGTTCCGAAATACCATTGTGGTCACGTGGTGTTTTACGTGCTTTGTGAGCGTCTACATAATTATGGTAAATAAATGAAAAAGTTGTTTTTCTAAAGGACTTGATCTATTTTGTTTGATTTACGCATTTAATTGTTGAAACTTTATAAAATATACACGATCATTTATGTATTTAGAAAACAAAAACAATTAGATCTCAACTTCTAACGGCCACGGGCACGGGAGCTCTAGCGCTTGATCACGTGCTAGATTAGCACTTGTAGAGTCTCTTTAGTGTTTACGTTCTTGTTTATATGTAGCCTAATTAATTGAACTGTTTGACCCATTTTACAGACTTTTTTTCTTACTGTCAAACCACAGGCACGAGTATCGGACCTGGGAAGAAAAAATATGACCATATTGATAAAAAAAAAACACCTGTGTTCATCTTAAAATTGTCAAAAACCAAAAAAAATTTGTAAATTATGACCCCCCTTAAAAATATACTATAAGTTAAGAGAAGGCCGGAAACTCCAGATTCGAGCCTACAAGCAGGTATGTATACGTACCTGCTACAAGCAAGGGATTCATTTTCCGGGCCGTTGTGAAAACAATTGGCCAGACAATTAAAAAAAACTTTTATCACTATTTCACGTTTGTATTAAGCTTCCAAATGAGACCGACCCCAAGTCTCTAGCCCTTCCCGTTCATGAAATATCTATCAGGAAACGAGCGAATTCTTGCTAAAAATCCTTTGTAGACAAAATTGCGGCACAACGATTCGGTACGTCAGGCCCGTCATCACGATTTTGTGATTTGTGCGGCCAATTTGATTGGTTTTAGGTAGAATCTAGGGGGGGTACGGGGCATGCTCCCCCGGAAAATTTTTTATTCTAGGATGCTCTCAGGGGCGTTTTCCAGTATATTTGGCACAGTTTACAACCTGCCCTTGTACAAGTTATAGTAGTATGTCAACAATTTTTTACAGATTTAAGTGTGTCGTAAATTTTAAGGGTGAAAGGCATTTTTATTGTGCTTGTGGTAATTTAGTCCAAATTGCTAATCAGCGATGCGTGTTGTTTTTTTTTTACTCATTTTTGGCCAAAATATTGGTCCGGCCAAGACCGGACCGGCCCGACCATCGACGAAGGCCTTGTACGTAAACATAGCCTAATACATATTTGTCAGAGTACGGGTCAAAATTACTTGAATTTACTAAATAATATTACTAAATACATTAAGTTGGACCACCCACTCACAACCGTCAGTATCATCTGATACACGCAATATTCGAATTTCAAACCTTTCCACGGTCTTTCAATCGCTTTCTACACCATTAGGCATCCTTGTGTGAAACGTTGCGGTTTCGTTGCTATTTGCCAATCAGAAGACTCGTTACAAAATATCAAACAGCTGATTGACAATGGCGTAGAAAGGAATGCTAAATGGTGCTACACTAGTTTTTTCATGCTTCAGTTTAAGTTACTAAATGTTACATTGATCAATTTTAAATATTAAAACTGTCTTTACTTGGAAACTCAAAATTTATTTTTTCAACTGACGGGAACATTTAGAAATGATGATTGTTTCAGACATATGCATTGTGGCTAACATGATAATGTTGTTCAGTTTTACATAAAAATCTACAGATTTGAAATATTTTGCACAAAAAACTTTGTTATTTATGTGTATGACTAAAATATGTAAATTTTGACCATCATGAAAATATGCCATTACTGTGAAATATTTAAGAAATAATATATCCCAAACTGTAATTTTATTGCTCAATAACATCACTGTTTGGAGTTCGGATGCGGGGAATTATATAATGATGCGCATCCGAAGGACAAAGAGTGATTTTATCAAGCAATAAAATCACACATTGGATATATTATTTCGGTTCTAACACGACATCAACAAATAAATGCTGCCGTACCTGAATTGCGCCTGATTTGTTTTTGTACTTATTTGTTAGCGCGTCACATTTTTATTGGTTACGTCACAAGTCATGTGTATACTACGTCACATGTCTAAATATAGAACGTCAAACAGTGATTTTATAGCAAAATAACACACACTTTTGGTTCTTCTATGTTCAATAGGGAAAAATGTAGAATAAATAATAATTAGTGGTGAGTTGATGCGAAATTTGTGATGTTGATTGCAGTAGGATAGTCTGTATATAGGATCTTAGCAGGGGTTTGGGGACTTGGTCCCACCCTACAAGTCCCACACTGTGTGATCTGAATGTGAGTCATGGCCTTAGGGATAATAATATCCAGCAAATGACTGTTGGTGTTACCAGTTTTATATAAAACACTAACACTTTAATATCCTGGTAAAAAAAAAATACTGACTGTTTCTGCGACAGAGGTATAAATATCTGAAGTTTTGTATAAATAGTTCTTTGATGAAAAGAAAAAAAAATATAAGATAAAAAATAAAATATCAAATTTTTTTTGTGGAGATTTGGGAACAATTAAAAGAATAACAGTTCAAGAAAGAGCTGCATTATTCAACGTCAAATTTTCTTTCTCTTATGTTTTAGGACAGGTTTTCAAATGGACAACTAGTTTGGGGACATATTTTAAAGTCTTCATGGTGGCCTGCTTTAGTGTTTCCAGGACCTATGGCTGGAAAAAGCCATGCCAAACCAGGAGCAGTTTGGGTTATATGGTTACAGGACCTTAAGATTTCAGAGGTAAACAAATTTTTTTTGTCGGTACTTTTGATTTAATTGCATTCCTATAATGGTGGATATTAAATGAGTGTAAGATTTAAAATTGTATTTATTGAAGAAGCTGAATAAAATCAAATTATGCAAGCCGCTGGCAAGCATAATATTGTTTTATTCAACGAATCCAATAAGTTTAGTGTTGAATCAACACAAATATAATATTTTATTTATCACAAATCCAAAATAAGAAATGTTTGCAGTTAAGCCCATTGAATATAAATATTGCCCTTGTATGTTTATAAATACCCTTGAAATAATTTATCATTGTTCATTGTTTCTTGAAAATATTTTTTTATTATTTCAGATGAAATTCAACAAGTTGGAGAACTTTGCCAGTAATTTTACGAAACATAGAAAAGGAAAATATTCCTCGGCTCTTGAACAAGCTGTAGTTGAAGCACTTGAGGTACTTGATTTATAACCCTAAATCTGTTGAATATGACATAAAGGGTCTAGCTTTATAGCTTCTACAGTTTTTATGCCCCCACAGAGTGGGAGCATATAGCGTTGCACTTGTCCGTCCGAGTGTCCGTCCGTCCGTCAGTCCGTCCGTACGTCCCGAAATCTTGTGAACGCAACTCCTCTTAAACCGGATGGCAGATTTTGCTTAAACTAACAGGGATGAACAACCTTAATGTGTAGATGGTAGTAAAGGAAGGAATTTTTGCTGCGACCAAATTTAACAGAATTATGGCCCTTTGTTGATTTTTTCACTAGATACTATGAAGAAATTTTGTGAACGCAACTCCTCTTAAACCGCATGGCAGATTTTGCTTAAACTTACAGGGATGAACAACCTTAATGTGTAGATGGTAGTAAAGGAAGGAATTTTTGCTGCGACCAAATTTAACAGAATTATGGCCCTTTGTTGATTTTTTCACTATATACTATGTAGAAATTTTGTGAACGCAACTCCTCTTAAACCGCATGGCAGATTTTGCTTAAACTTACAGGGATGAACAACCTTAATGTGTAGATGGTAGTAAAGGAAGGAATTTTTGCTGGGACCAAATTTAACAGAATTATGGCCCTTTGTTGATTTTTTCACTATATACTATGTAGAAATTTTGTGAACGCAACTCCTCTTAAACCGCATGGCAGATTTTGCTTAAATTTACAGGGATGAACAACCTTAAGGTGAAGATGGTAGTAAAGGAAGGAATTTTCGCTGCGACCAAATTTTACAGAATTATGGCCCTTTGTTGATTTTTTCACTATATACTATATAGAAATTTTGTGAATGCAAATCCTCTTAAACCGGATGGCAGATTTTGCTTAAACTTCCAAGGATGAACAACCTTTATGTGTAGATGGCAGTAAGGGAAGGAATTTTTGCTGCAACCAAATTTAACAGAATTATGGCCCTTTGTTGTTTTTTTCATTATATACTATGTAGAAATTTTGTGAACGCAACTCCTCTTAAACCGGATGGCAGATTTTGCTTAAACTTCCAGGGATTAACAACCTTAATGTGTAGATGGTAGTAAAGGTTGGAATTTTTGCTGCGACCAAATTTAACAGAATTATGGCCCTTTGTTGATTTTTAGTTTTCAACTTGTGGCACATGTAGTCCAAAAAATATTTGACCTAGAGTCATAAGATTGACAGAACAGTGGTGTGTGGGGGCATCCGTGTCCTATGGACACATTTCTAGTTTTTTGTAAAGAAAAAAGCCACCCGGTTTGCTTAATAGGTAGAGCATTGACAGTGAATCAGGCGACCTGGGTTTAATCATCACTTTCATTTTTTGTTTCATCATTTTCATTGTGATTGACCATAAAATCCTTTCTGCAGTCATTTGCACTGTATCTCTGCTCTGGCATGTACTGAAGTTATTAGCTCCTTGCAAAAGTTAAGACAACTAGTACTGGTAAACTGCTTGGCAACCTGCCCAGGTAGATACTGTGGTTGAACTGTCAGCTCTGGTTAATTCACTGCAGCTTACTGCCGTAATTTAGAGGTTAAACTACCAACACCACAACAACATTTTTGTATAAGAGCATTGTTAAATTTCTAGAGGTGCCAGGATGCAAAGATGCACAGGTCAACCTGTTTCTCTGTACTGGCAAGCAAAGGCTGATAGTTTTCATGTTCAGCAGAGGGTTAAAGATGAACTTTTATATTTGTCTGATGTTCAATATGCATTAGATGCTGGGCATGGCATGTATTGTTGTGCATGTAGTTACCTGAAAACACAACTAATACATCTAAAGTACATATAATTATTATGTGAATGTGATAATGTTAGCAACATAGAATTAATATACATGTTGTACATTTGGCTGTTTAAACTGAAATGTCTGTTCAAGCATCTCCATATTTTGCTGTTTATTAACTGAAATGACTTTTCAAGCGCCCTCCAAACTTTACTATAATAATAGTTTTCTGACATATACTTGTTTCAGGGACGATGAGAGTGTAAAGTTTGCCTTTGTATTTGAGTTGTATTAAATCAGATATCCGGAAGTGTTAATGGTAGCAAATGATTTTTGTATTTTCTGATCGCAGATCAGTAAATACATAGGTAACATCCACGGTCTAACACAAAATTTCCTAACAGACCTAACAACGCAAAGTATTTCTCACTCAAAACTGCTTAAAAACCAGCAATTTAAAAGAAAGAACAATTTTGTGTGACAAGTGTCCAACAAATTACTACACATTCAAACTTTAAAAGTAGCGTTGGCTTATAGAATTGTCAATAAATGCACACTCACAAATTACGCGGATGAATATGATTTAAATCAATGAAAATGCTATTTTTAGCGATGTCGATTACCGAATACTACACAAATAAATCTTGACTGCCGAGTAGTTGAATATATAGTTTCTACATGTTGGATTGTTTGGGCGAGAAGATTTTTGCTAAATTATTTACTTCAATTTTAAACAACAGGTTTACCCTGAACAAAATACCTCGAAATTACCCTAACCCGAAATGCAATGGACATTCTAAATTTAGAATGACTTGATTTTATTCAGCCTGTGCTGCTTTAAAAACCCGAAATGCAATGGAAATTCTAAATTAGAATGACTTGATTTTATTCAGCCTCTGTTTTTAGCTCACCTGTCACAAAGTGACAGGGTGAGCTTTTGTGATCGCTTTTCGTCCGTCGTCGGTCCGTCCGTCGTCATCGTAAACTTTTACTTTAAATGACATCACCTCATAAACCACTAAGCCAATTTCATCCAAACTTCACAGGAATGCTCCTTTGGTGGTCACCTTTAAAAATGTTCAAAGAATTTAATTTCATGCAGAACTCTGGTTGCCATGGCAACCGAATGAAAAAACTTTAAATATCTTCTGTTAAAAAACCCTAAGAGCTAGAGCTTAGATATTTGGCATGAAACATCTTCTAGTGAGTGTCTACCAAGTTTGTTCAAATAAAAGCCCTGGGGTCAAAATTGGCCCCGCCCCAGGGGGTTATTGATTTTCCCTATATGCATATATTAAAAACTTAAAAAATCTTCTTTTAAAGAACCCAAAGAGCTAGAGCTTAGATATTTAGCATGAAACATCTTCTAATGAGTGTCTACCAAGTTTGTTCAAATAAAAGCCCTGGGGTCAAAATTGGTCCCACCCCAGGGGGTCATTGATTTTCCCTACGTGCATATAAGAAAAACTTAAAAAATCTTCTTTTAAAGAACTCAAAGAGCTAGAGCTAAGATATTTTGCATGAAACATGTTGTAATGGGTGTCTACCAAGTTTGTTCAAATGAAAGCTCTGGGGCCCTGGGGTCAAAATTGGCCCCGCCCCGGGGGTCATTGATTTTCCTTATAAGTGTATAGCAAAAACTTAAAAAATCTTCTTTGAAAAAACCCAAATAGCTAGAGTTTAGATATTAAGCATGAAACATCTTCTAGTGAGTTTCTACAAAGTTTGTTCAAATAATAGCCCTGGGGTCAAAATTGGCCCCGCCCCAGGGGTGTCATTGTTTTTGACTATATGTGTATAGTAAAAACTTAAAACATCTTTTAAAAAACCCAATGAGCTAGAGCTTAGATGTTTAGGATGAAACATCTTCTTATGGGTGTCTACCAAGTTTGTTCAAATAAAGGCCCTTCGGTTAAAATTGGCCCTGCCGGGAGAGGGAGCAGCAGGGGCAGATCATTGTTTTTCATTATATGTGTGTCATAAAAACTTAACATCATGAAACATCTTCTAATGGGTGTCTTTCAAGTTTGTTCAAATAAAAGCCCTGGGGTTTAAACTGGCCCCGCTCCAGGGGCCTATATACAGGTGAGCGATCTCAGGGCCATCATGGCCCTCTTGTTATAACTTCTCCGTGGTGCAAGGGTAACGCGCTCGTTTAGTGTGTGAGAGGTCTGGAGTTCAAATCCCAGTTGAGACAACATTTTTTATAATTCTTTTTTTTTAGTGTTTTTGTTAAGGAAATAGCCACGATATGCAAGGATAAATACATAAAAATAAAAAAAAACATAAATGATTTTTTGATGCAACTCTAGTTATGCAAAATTCCGTATGTATCAAACTCTGGTGTCCTGCAAGATGAATTATAGTACATAACAAGAAAGGCATTGATGCAAAGCATCAAAGGGCGTCCAAGCAAGAAATGCAGCAGGTGAAGATGAACTAGTAGATATATGATTATAAACTTCCCAATGGTTAATTGGTTTTTACCAGAATTGTATATCACTTATGAATGAACGGACGAAAGACATTGTTCATTATTAACTTTGTTTGGCATACTAGAGATTAGAATATTACTTGTTTACTTCTTTATGATCGTGGTTATTAATAGCAACGGATATACATGTATGCAATCATTTATAATCCATATGTGTAATGCATGATCAACACCACACTTGTGTAGTTGTCCCTTATTATGTTATCGCTTTTAGCGAAGAACCCCTATTAAGGTATCTGTTCACACTTACTAACAATATGACACTGGTTACATTACCATGTTGATCATGTTGAGCATAATTGTTTATTATTCAATAATTGTAATATCTAATTTAATAAAAAAAATACAGATTTTATGAATATTGTTTTCTTTTCTTTTTTGTGTTTTATGTGCTATTTTAATAATGAGTTTTTACGTTTACTACTATTTTAAGAATTCAAATGTCATATTGACCGACGATTATAAGTAAAAACTTAACTGGAAAAAGTCAGTAAATTATGGTTAATCTTTCAATATATAATATTGTTTATTCTTAAACCATATACATGTACATTTGTATTTTTCTTTATCATTTTTTAAATTATCAATCAATTGAATAATTCCTAAAATCTAATTTGTAACTTTGAATAATTCCTCGGCATCTTTACTAAACACGAATAACAAATTAAATAAAATGTTTCAAAGTTGATAGTGTCATATTAATACCATAAAAATGTACCTTTTTCTAAATTATTGTACATATTTATTGTTTTTATCTCATATAGATAAAATAAAACATGCTATTGTTGTTGTTGGGTTTTTTTTTTCTTCGAATTGTATGTTTATGTATAATAATAATCAATAAATTTGAGAGTTGATCTGTGTTTATTAATTATTGTAACCAAACTAAGTGATGAAAAAAAACTTATATAAACTGTAAAATATTTGTTCTGTTCTGTAACGATATCAAACATCTACTCCAAAACCGGGAGAGACCGGACAATAAACGTGTGGTACTATTCGCCGGTCACTAGTAAATTCCGGTCAAAATAGACCAGGAGAGACATGGAATTACCGATAGGAGTACATCCCTCTATATATAGATTTTCGGAATATTTAGGTCATCAACTCATCATTCTATTCAGCTTTCGGATACATGTACCATAATAACCCACTGTGTACTACAAAATGATAAATAAAAATACCCCGAAGAGCGCGATTTATTGACGGAAAAGGTTATTTCATTTGAAAATGTTTGCATTGCGAAATTCTCTAGTTTGCTATTCATTGTATATATCGCGACATTTCATTATTAATTAATAATCAAGCACCCTCATACTGATCGGCTTTTATTATGTCCGACTAAAAGGCTCGAGAAGTTGCTGTCGCCCTTTCACAAAATCTGATTTCATTCCATAAGAAGCGCCGCGCTTTGGCGCGGACGCCAAAAATAAACTTATACAGGAAAACACATACAGATATACAGTACGATTTAGATTGCAAAGATCAGAAAATACCACAGAGCTTGCAGCCCTTTGATTATAATTATATATGTTTGATATTTATAGGTTTGTGCACATCGTGCAGGTTTATCAATAGACAACATCAAGCAATGGGGATTAGTTGAAGAAGGATTTATAGACCTTGTAAATTCTTCAGGAGATACCTTTGAACCTAAATCAGGTAAATGATTTAAGCTGAGTGCCCTCTTAGCATAATAACAAGAGAGATTTGTAATCCATGATTTGCTGCTTCAATTCTTTGGCAAAACTGACCCAATAATATGAATATTGAAAACCATTGCAATGCTTTTCACTCAAATCAAGCTAAGAATAACACAAAAATACTATTTTCAATTTATTGCTAGTACATTTTTTTAAAATCTTTTGTAATCTTTCTGTCTTAAGTGTCAAAGTTGGTCTGTGTAAGTAATATTTCATTTTTCTATGTTTTTAACCCTTTCCCCCATGAGCATATTGTGAAAAATGGCCATTTTCACTGAAAAGCCTCCTGTTACAAGTTCAAACTGCTATGAAACTATGAAAAATGCTTCAATACTAATCAAACTTGGCACAAATGTTGACTGGACCATTGCCTTTGTAACAACATGCTCAGTCTTAAATTTCCTGTTACCATGGCAACGAGGGGACATCTCAAAATTGCCAAAATCACTTTTTTGCCTCGATTTTTTCCATCAAAATTTATTTCAAAGTGCTGCAACTTCTCAAGGGATTGAGATAGAGTCAAAGGCTTTTCAGCGTTGGTTACACGTTACCTTATGATCGACCTGGGGTCATTTTAAGCCTCTCACAAGTCCAAAATTTTCTTGGCGATGAGGGGGACTCCGCCCCCCTTCAAACCCCCAAACAGAAGGGGGCACATCCCCCTTCTGGCAACCCCCTGATGTAATGTTTGGATGGGGGACGGCGCCGAAAAAATGGTCACTTTTTTTAACAACATTTCTCAAACAAAAGACAGTGTTTGGGGCCTGAGTAGGGCATTTTTTCACTGTTTGAGGCCTCAAAAAGGGGGGGGGGGGCAAAAAGCCGTCGAAACACGCTTATATAAGGGAAAAGGTTAAGGGTTTAGGGCCTCAATGAAGTTCCATTAACATTTACATGTAATATGCATCTGGTACATAGCAGAGGCTATCTATAGGGACAGCTTTCTGTCTTATTTAGTCAATTAAATTCATCAATTAGCTGATACAAGTCAGCTGCTGTTAAGTCATGGAAAGGTGTGCTGGGGGCGTCCGATTTTTGTCCGGAGCATATCTCCTACACCCATGAAGGAATTTTAATGAAATTTCATAGAAATGTTAATCACTATGAGAAGTTATCTGGCGCACATAAACTAGGCCTCTAGGTCAAAGGTCACACACAGAGGTCATTGAAAAACACTTGTCCGGAGCAAAACTTCTACATGCATAGAGGGATTTCAATATAACTTAGCACAAATGTTCACTATTGTGAGGCAAAGTGTCGCGTGCAAAATTTAGGTCCCTGAGGCTAAGGTCATGGTCACACATAGGGGTCAAAGTTCAGATAAAATATGAAAATGTGTATTGGGACCATTTAGTCATCATTTATTGAGGGATTGAAACATAAATGGTCATTATCATGACTACTGGTGTGAAACATGTAATTTAGGTTAATATATGCAAGGTCAAGGTCACTAAAGATGATTGTCAAGGTCACTAAAGATGATAAAATATAAAGATTTTGTCCAGAGAATAATTATCTCCTACACATATGGGGGATTCTAATGGAACTTCATACAAATGTTCACCACTATAAGAAGCCGTGTTGTGCGCATGAACCAGGCCTATAGGTCAAAGGTCAAGGTCACACTTAGAGGTCATAGAAAAACGCTTGTCCAGAGCAAAATTTCTACATGCATAGAGGGATTTCAATATAACTTGGCACAAATGTTCACTATTGTGAGGGGGAGTGTCGTGTGCCAAATTTAGGTCCCTGCGGCCAAGGTCAAGGTCACACATAGGGGTCAAAATTCAGATAAAAAAATCACTAGAGATGATAATATATCCAGATGTTTTCTGGATATTGCCCAGAAAATATCTCCTATATGCTTATCGTTAATGCCCACATCTCTGTCAAAAGCTTCTGTGACAGGGGTATATTGCAACAATGTTGCCCTTTTTTTTATTTTAGGATAGGGGAAACAGCCTTTATTCAGCTGTAAAATATAGGGGACTAAAATCACTGGCATTAGCAAGATTTAGATTGATTATTTGTTGATTCTCTTCTACCTGTATTGTAAACTGTATTTAAGAACTGGTTGGCATATTGTTGTCTCCCTTTATTGTCTAAGATAAGCTCTCCTGAACATAATCATGTGAGGTTCTGAGATGGCCTTGTATGTTTGGTGTTCCTGCTTTAAAAACCATATTTACATAAATTGCTTTGCTAATTGTGCAGGCCCATCAAAAGATGTGCATGTACAGGATGCTTTTTTTCTCTATAGCATTGGCCATTTAAGGGTGGCTTTCCCAAAAATAAATTCTTTAATTGATGATGCAGTTTTCCCCAAAAATTGAATTTGCATAATTTATTTTCTTCCAAATATACCGTATGATTCACCCCCCTCCCCCCCCCCATTAAGGGTAGTGTTGCTTCCCCAACCAATGTTAATACAGGTTCAGTTTCTGTGGTATTTTGCCCTTTATATGCATTTTTTCTGCAGATAATTGATTAAAATAAAAATCAATGATTACTTTTTAAAAAGGTTTTGAGTACCCAAATAAAGTAGTCTCTGCCCTGAAGGAAGCAAAAAATAGAAGTGACATAGTCAGACTTGAAGTAGAGAAGAAGAAAAAGTTGGAGATAGATAAACTAAAAAAGGGAGAGAAAGGACAGAAAGGTGAACAGGAGAAGAAAGAACAGCAAAAAGAAGAACAGATAGTGGTACTAAATGATACTGCTGCGGGAAGTCGGGAACATGAAAATGTGATGATAAATGGTTTGTTGCTAGTTTTGTTGTCATATCACAATGTGTAAATACCTTATACCTTCCAACAAATATTCATCACCTAATAAATGACCCCTTAAATTTTTATACAAAGAATATACATTTCTAACCTCATTCAATATAATTCTTTAGCATGTTTTTTTAAGTAATTTAAAAAAAAACGGCTTTTTACAGTCATGTAAAAGACATAATCCTGACTGAAATAATTCCAGTCCATGTTTTATAACCAGAATGTTAAGTTTAACTGATAATGACATATTTTTCGTTTTATTAGTTCCCTACCGGTTTAACCGGAGGGACTTTAGGTTTACCCTCCGTCCGTCAGTCTGTCCGTCCGCACTCACAGGACAGTTATTATGTGGCTAGAGGGACAATAGGTAACTGTTCTTTCTCTTTGATGTCATTCATTCCGTAATGCTTTTATGTGGCTATTTTCTTTTGTTTGGTGTAAGGAAGTTTTTCAGTCCGTCATTCCATCCCGCTTTATACATATAGACAGTGGTAGTCGTGTCTGCTCTGAAACTTCAGTATGCATCAAAGGATTTTAATTTTTCTTTTTTATGTTATACAAATATAGAAGGTGGTGGTCCTGTCAGCATGCATGAGGGGATTTTAATTTTTCTTTCACATATTAAATAATCATAGATATATGGTGTGCCACGAATAAGACTCCAGTTTTTACAACTAAGGTCAAGGTCACTGTGGAGGTTCAAACTTTGTCATTTGTTATGTTATAAAGATACAGATGGTGGTGATCATGTCTGCTCTGAAACTTCAGTATGCATGAAAGGATTTTAATTTTTCTTCATATATGAAATAACCATAGATGTATGGTGTTGCAAACAAGACTGGTTTCGATGACTTCAGTATGCATATAGGTCAAGGTCACTGTGAGGGTTCAAACTTTGTCAATTTTGATGTTACTATACATATAGGCAGAGATGGTCTTGTCTGCTCTGAAACTTATATGAATGAAAGGATTTTATTTTTTTTATTTCAAATATGAAATTATCATAAATGTATGATGTGTTCAGACCCGTGCTCCTACGCCTTAGTTCAAGCTCACTGCTGGAGTTAAAACCTTTTCAATATTTATGTTATATACATATAAATGGTGGTTGTTGTGTCCGCTCTTTTTATTTTTATTTAGAAATATTATTAAAGTCACCATAGATGAACAATGTGTTGTGAACAAGACCCAGGTTTCTTTGTCTCACTTAAAGGTCACTGCTGGGGTTTGAACTTTGTCAATTTTTACCACCATACTTAACATGTAATAGGTGGTTTATAACCTAAAAATCCTTTGGGGGCATTTGTCACGTTCTGTGACAGCTCTTGTTTTTATTTTAAAGACTGACATTAAATTGCCAGTAAACACTTAGGTTAGGGACTACATGTGCATGCAGCTGTCTTAAAAAAATTTTCTCCGTCAATACATAGCTTTTTAAGTTATTTTCCGTTTTTATTATGTTTTCTTTTCATTATGCTAAATTAACATCTCACATACAGAAATGCCACAGGTTTGATCAATATCAGTCGATATTATTATACCCCCAAAAACGAAGTTTGGGGGGGTATATAGGAGTCACCCGGTGGTCGGTTGGTCGGTCGGTCCAGACGTCCGTTGCATTTTCCTTGTCCGGAGCATAACTTGAAAACTAATGGTTGGAATTCAATATAACTACATACAATGGTCAAGCACATTGAGAGGAAGTGCAGTGCACAAGAACCATAACTCTATCTTGACTAATTACAGAGTTATTGCCCTTTGTTACTTTTCCTTGTCCGGGGCATAACTTGAAAACTACTGGTTGGAATTCAAAACAACTTCATACAATTGTCAAACACAATAAGGGGAAGTGCAGTGCACAAGAACCATAACTCTATCTAAAGTAATTACAGAGTTATTGCCCTTTGTTGCTTTTCCATTGCTTTTTTTTTTTTGTCCGTTGCATTTTCCTTGTCCGGAGCATAACTTGAAGACTAATGGTTGGAATTCAATATAACTACATACAATGGTCAAGCACATTGAGAGGAAGTGCAGTGCGTAAGAAACATAACTCTATCTTGACTAATTACAGAGTTATTGCCCTTTGTTACTTATCCTTGTCCGTGGCATAACTTGAAAACTACTGGTTGGAATTCAAAACAACTTCATACAATTGTCAAACACAATAAGGGGAAGTGCAGTGCACAAGAACCATAACTTTATCTAAAGTAATTACAGAGTTATTGCCCTTTGTTGCTTTTCCATTGCTTTCTTTATTTTGTCCGGACCATAACTTGAAGACTAATGGTTGGAATTCAATATAACTACATACAATGGTCAAGCACATTGAGAGGAAGTGCAGTGCATAAGAACCATAACTCTGTCTAAAGTAATTACAGAGTTATTGCCCTTTATTACTTTTCCATTGCTTTCTTTGTCCGGACCATAACTTGAAGACTAATTGTTGCAATTCATTATAACTTCATACAATGGTCCAGCACATGAGAGGAAGTGCAGTGCACAAGAACCATAACTCCATTTTGACTTATTACAGAGTTACTGCCCTTTGTTTCTTTTCCTTGTCCAGAGCATGACTTTAAAACTGCTGGTTGGAATTCAAAAAACTTCATACAATGGCCAAGCACAATAAGGGGAAGTGCAGTGCACAAGAACCATAACTCCATCTTGACTTGACTAATTACAGATTTATTGCCCTTTGTTACTTTTCCATTGCTTTCTTTTGTCCGGACCATAACTTGAAGACTTATTGTTGGAATTCATTATAACTTCATACAATGGTCAAGCACATTGAGAGGAAGTGCAGTGCATAAGAACCATAACTCCATCTTTACTAATTACAGAGTTACTGCCCTTTGTTACTTTTCCTTGTCCAGAGCATGACTTGAAAACTACTGGTTGGAATTCAAAACAACTTCATACAATGGTCAAGCACAATAAGGGGAAGTGCAGTGCACAAGAACCATAACTCCATCTTGACTAATTACAGGGTAATTGCCCTTTGTTACTTTTCCTTGTCCAGAGCATAACTTGAAAACTACTGTTTGGAATTCATTACAACTTCATACAGTTGTCAAGGACATTAAAAGGAAGTGCAGTGCACAAGAGCCATAACTCCATTTTGACAAAATACAGAGTTACTGCCCTTTGATACTTTTCCTCTTCCGGAGCATAACTTAAAACGTACTGGTTGGAAACAACTTCATACAATGGTCAAGCACAATAAGAGGAAGTGCAGTGCACAAGAACTATAACTCTATCTTCAGTATTTATAGAGTTATTGCCCTTTGTTCTTTTTCTTTGTCTTTCTGGACTTATTACAGAGTAATTCAATTAAACTTCATCAATGGCCAACCACATTGAAAGTAAATGCAACATACATGAACCACAATTATCTTTAATTGCCCACAACCATATCTCTATGTTTCAATTCTATTACAAGGTATTCTGTTACTAGTAACATCCTCATTTCCGAAGCAGACTTGTGGGGGTATTAATCACATTTAGTGATAGTTCTAGTTTATATTGGACAAATCAGCATAATGACTTCAACCTAAGTTTGCAACTCATTCATAAAGGCACCTTCGTGGTCAATGCCTAGGCATCTTAACACCAAACCGGTGTTAAAAAGTTGATGAACACTAATGAGACCAATATTATTATTTCTTAATTTTACCTTGCTTAATTTTGACTTTTAATTTTAATTACATGAATACTTAAAAATGTTCAATATATATAATGCATAAATAGAGTAAAATGATCAGTATAAAAGTTGGTAAATGAATGACCTGACAATAATCTTGGATATTAGTTGAATAAGAGTTATTGTTCTGATTTCTTTGACAGAAGTTTGTTTGTCCTGTGCTAAAGAGAAAGCTATCTGTCACCATCCTTTGTTTGAAGGATATGTTTGCAGTAAATGCAAGGTAAATATTTTCTAAATATCTGTTTTATTATTACATAGAATGAATGGAAATTTAATGGATGCATTTGAGCGTGTAGGATAGTACAGATGCATCTAGTAGCATGGTTTATCAGTCTTTAGAGAAATGGTCATGTCACTGACCCTATATTTATAGTTCTAAGGGTGGGTTTGAATGATTTCATTATCCCTAACTGGAAAAATCAGATAAGGGATATTGAAATAGACTATTTTCGGTTCACCTTTGCTGGGGGACAAGGTACAGGGAATAAAGTGAAACAGTATTAGTTTTTTCATCCAGTCTATATTGTCCAGTACTTATAAAGCCTAATATTGTGTGTTTGTGTGTGTGTTTTCATCTAAATAAGTAATTATCTAGTGATTTGTATCATGCAGAGTCTATAGGTTAATCAAAAAAAAATTATTTCCTTACAGGGAATAATAATATTACCTTATGAAATATTTTTGTAAACTGTATTGATAACTGTATTGATAACAACATTACTACAAGAGAAGGATATGTAAGTTTATGATTCCATCTTTTTCAGGGCAAACTGATGGAAAGTCTCCTTACAAAGAATAGAGATGGAACATATGTAAGTTTACAAATATAATTCTTAACCCATTACTTCATGAGCATTTTGTGAAAAATGGCTGTTTTCATTGAAAAGTCTCCCGTTACAAGTTCAAATTGCTATAATACTATAAAAACTGCTTCAACACTAATCAAACTTGGCACAAATGTTGACTGGACCATTGCCCTTGCAACAACATGCTCACGCTTAAATTTTCTGTTACCATGGCAACGAGGGGACATCTCAAAATTGCCAAAAATCACTATTTTGTGTTGATTATTACCATCAAAATTGATTTCAAAGTGCTGCAACTTCTCAATGGATTGAGATAGAGTCAAATGCTTTTCAGAGTTGGTTACACGTTACCTTATGATCAATCTGGGGTCATTTATAGCCTCTCACAAGTCCAAAATTTTCTTGGCGATGAGGGGGACTCCACCCCCTTCAAACCCCCCAAATCTTTTGGTTGGGGGGCCGCGCCGAAAAAGAAGTCACTTTTTTTAACAACATTTCTCAAACAAAAACAAGTGTTTGGGGCCTAAATAAGGCATTTTTTCACCATTTGAGACAACAAAAAGGGGGGGGGTGAAAAAGGCGTTAAAAGGTGTGTATATAACATTATGGGTTAAACTATGAAACCTGAGTTTAAATGTTTGAAAATTTATAAATATTGAGCTGTAAATTTGAATTACTTACATTAGTGTGTCCATCTAAAAGAGGTTTGTTGATATATTAACAGACTGTAAGAGCTTAAAGCTGCATGCCTTCAGATAAGCAAAAATATTTCATGAAGATTAAAAATATACAGTCCAACCTTGGTTATTTGAAGTGCTGGGGACTGAAAATTTACGAATTGATGGGTTCGCATAATCGAAATCAAAATATAGTAATGGATGAAAACTATTCAACTTAAGCCATACGCCAAACATAGCAAAAGTCCCATTAAAAACACACTTGTTTTCATTAATTTACTGAGAAAAATAAATAAACAACAAAGGATGCATAAAAAATAAGTTTATTGATACCGAAGATGTAAATACTTGCCTTTTATTTCACATTATGTAGCACATATACATAAAATTACCGCTGTTGTCTTCAGGCATTGACAATCATTATTAAGACATAATGGACATTAATAAAATGCACCCTTTTGAAAAAGAATGTATACAAAATATGGTAGTGTTTGCTAATGATTATTTATTTCTTTACTTAAATTGTTTACTTTTAATCAAAATTATTAAATTGAATAACCGTCCAATAATTAAAAGAGAAATCACTCGCATACACTCAATTTTCGGTAATTAAAGTTAATTAAAAAACATGTGGAATTATTACAATAGTCAAAATACACGCATGGCTTTTAGAAATTTTTCACATGTTTTGACGGTCAGCGAGTGGATCAGCGGCAATTAGTCTGGCTATGAATAATAGGTGTAAAATTCTGTCATAATTGTATAATCGGGACCGACATTTTACTTTGAAAAAGAGGAGGTTTTTGGATAATGCATTTCTAATAATCGATTGAATTTATATTAATGTATATAGAGATAAAAACAGGACAGCAAATCTACTTCGGATAATGCCGGGTATTTGAATAAAGGGTTGTCGAATAACCGGGGTCAGACTGTACTAAGATTTTAAGAAAAGTAACGATTCAAGATCCAAGTAATGTTTGTTTATTGTTTGTTTAATTTGGTGATGTTCCAGCTTCACTGGTGGAGGAAGACCTCAGATGCTCTTCCGTGAATTATTTCAGGCATGAACGGACACCTGAGTAGAACCACCGACGTTCCATATTTTTAGCTAGATGAATTACTAAGCTTCCTCACATGAAAGAATCCAAAACCCTGTTGGGAATTCGAACCCACAGTGGTGAGGGGCAAGTGGTTTGAAGTCAACGACCTTAACCACTCGTCGACAGACACCTCTCAGATCCAAGTAATAAAATACCTGTTATATGTGCGATAAATGACTGATTATGCAGTATTTATCATCATATTTCTACTATTTTTAGCTCACCTGTCACAAAGTGACAGGGTGAGCTTTTGTGATCGCTTTTCGTCCGGCGTCCGCCCGTAAACTTTTACTTTAAATGACATCTCCTCATAAACCTCTCAGCCAATTTCATCCAAACTTCACAGGAATGTTCCTTTGGTGGTCACCTTTAAAAATTGTTCAAAGAATTTAATTCCATGAAGAACTCTGGTTGCCATGGCAACCGAAAGAAAAAACTTTAATATCTTCTTTTAAAAAACCCTAAGAGCTAGAGCTAAGATATTTGGCATGAAATATCTTCTAGTGAGTGTCTATCAAGTTTGTTCAAATAAAAGCCCTGGGGTCAAAATTGGCCCCGCATTAGGGGGTCAATGATTTTCCCTATATGCATATAGTAAAAACTTTGAAAATCTTCTTTTAAAGAACCCAAAGAGCTAGAGCTAAGATATTTAGCATGAAATATCTTCTTATGACTGTCTACCAAGTTTGTTCAAATAAAAGCCCTGGGGTCAAAATTGGCCCCGCCCCAGGGGGTCATTGATTTTGACCCTATATATTAAGTAAAAACTTAAAAAAATCTTCTTTTAAAGAACTCAAAGAGCTAGAGCTTAGATATTTAGCATGAAACATGTTCTAATGGGTGTCTACCAAGTTTGTTCAAATAAAAGCCCTGGGGTCAAAATTGGCCCCGCCCCGGGGGTCATTGATTTTCTTTATATGTGTATAGCAAAAACTTAAAAAATCTTCTTTGAACAATCCCAAATAGCTAGAGTTTAGATATTAAGCATGAAACATCTTCTAGTGAGTGTCTACAAAGTTTGTTCAAATAAAAGCCCTGGGGTCAAAATTGGACCCGCCCGGGGGTCATTGATTTTCCTTATATGTGTAAAGCAAAAACTTAAAAAATCTTCTTTGAAAAAACCCAAATAGCTAGAGTTTAGATGTTAAGCATGAAACATCATCTAGTGAGTGTCTACAAAGTTTGTTCAAATAAAAGCCCTGGGGTCAAAACTGGCCCCGCCCAAGGGGTGTCATTGTTTTTAACTATATGTGTATAGGAAAAACTTAAAAAATCTTCTTTGAAAAAACCCAATGAGCTAGAGTTTAGATGTTTAGCATGAAACATCTTATTGGTGTCTACCTAGTTTGTTCAAATAAAAGCCCTTGGGTTAAAATTGGCCCGGGGGGGGGGGGGGTTGGGCGGAGGCCTATATACAGGTGAGCGTATTGTATACTTTTGTTCACAGATGTTCTGTTGTGTGTGTGGTAAAGGCTGCAAGATGTATAGATGTGCTGACATGACATGTGGGAGGTAACATCATATTGTATATTATAATGAAGGCTAATATTTCACTCTTATAGAAATGCTGCCATAACTTTACAATAAAATGATATATTTTAAGATCAGGCTCTGTTTTGACAGAACATTTCAGTAACATTTCAAACAATAATTTGCCCAACTGGTATAGTAATGCCAGAATATTGAGTTGCCTCAATATACTAAATTTTGATTGTTTTAGATTATTCTGTAAAAGATGTCTGAAAGAGAATGTGAGTGTCAACATGGTGAGTCATTTAAATATAAAATACAATAGCGAAAAATATTATTCAGTAACTGTTGTAACTTTTATTCTCTCACTTTTTGTATATATGCCTGTGAACATTTGATACTAGTATTGTTATTTCTTAAGGTTATATATCACCAAGAATTCCTGGGACACAATGAATAACAGAATAAATATCTATTTTGTAGAAATTCTCAATCAGGAACATTCAATCCCCAATTTTCGTATACAGTGAATAAGGAAACACTACAGCATCAACTATTTCACCTATATGAGGCCTCTAGCTAGAAGCACTTGCTAATTGGGGCCTCTTGTGGCTGAGGGGTTGCCTCTACGGGTGAGGCATCAGAATTGCATCAGCACCATTTAATCTTGTGTGATTGTAAGAGTTGACTAAATGGGTTCAAATTACTGAAGTCTATGCATCTCTATGCAACACTGGTGAGGTGGTTTTGACCCCTGATGATGCTTTAAATTTGTAACACCCTAGATTAGCCAAAGTCATTTTTCCTATTTTGGCGCCAATGACCCAAATTTTGTTGGTGTGCTGTACAACCAAACAAACAAAACAAAAACTTGCTATGGAAAAAACAGATTCAGATTGATTGTAGTGTTTAATGTACATATCATTATGCATATTTAGTTGCAATTATAAAGTTGCTTGATACATCTCATTAATTTTGTATTTGAGTATTGATTTATTCAGAGAAGTATACATAAACACATACTGTATTGTCACATATATGAACATGCATATAAAACACATATAAATGCAATAAAAATAACGATAGAACTAAGAAGTATAGTCGAATCTCAATAATTCAAATTGCTGGGGACTGAAAATTTACTTCGAATAATTGATGGGTTCGAATAACCTAAATCCGAAATATAGTGACAGACGACAACTATTCAACTTTGGCCATACGTTAATCATAGCAAAAGTACCGTTTACAACACCCTTGTTTCAATTAAGCAATCGAAAAAAATAATGAAAAAACAAAAGATGCATAAAAAAATATTGGTATACAAGACATCAATACTAATATGCATTTTATTCCATATTATGTAGCACATATAACGCATACATGAACATTATCGCTGTTACATCTTCAAGCATTTACTGTCACAACATCGGACACGGTGCAGAATTTTAATCATAGGTAAGATAGACATGTATTCACATCAGGATTACAGCATCACAACATCTAAGGACATCTTGTGCTTAAAATGCACTGATTTAAAATAGAATTTTTTTTTCTCCAGCATTCATAACCAATATACATGGTAGTGTTTGCTTCTTTATTTATTTCTTTATTTAGATTGTTTACTTTCTTTCATTAAAATTATTAAAATGAATTTTAACTGTCCAATAATTAAACGAGAAATCACTCACATGCAAGTAATTTTCGGTAATTAAAGAAAATTTAAAAAAAGAATGTGTAATTATTACAATTGTCTTAATGCATGCAGGGTTGTTAGTCCAGGGACTGTCAGCTAGTGGATCAGCGCCAATAAGTCTAGCTTCGAATAATAGGTGTGAAATTCTTTCATAATTGTATAATAGGGACAGAAATTTAACTTCGAAAAATAGGAGGTATTTGGATAATGCATTTCGAAAAATATGTTTGTTTTATATAGATTTATATAGAGATAAAAGGGGGACTGCAATCTACTTCTGATAATGCCAGGTATTCCAATAAAGGGTAACTGTTGAATAACTGGGGACGGACTGTATGTTTTATGTTACCCTAGGATTGCCCGTTAAGCTAAAAGCTTATATCCAATAGGGTGATATTGATTTATATATTACAACAGGTTCAAGGGAGGGACAGAATTTGTGGGGACAGAAATCCTTGGCTATGTATGCTGTGCACCCAGTATAAAACATACAACCATGGAAAACTTGTTCCAAGAGATAATTGGAGAGAAGAGCTGGTGAAATTTTTCAATCCAGTGTCTGATCAGGTTTGTTTTCCTGTGCATTTTCTTTGATTCACTTTCATATTATGATAAAAATGTTATTGTGGCCTTTAATTTTGTTGCCTCTAAATGGTATGATCTCTTGATTGGTCCTAAATACTTCTCTATGGTGACATACAAATTGTAATAATTGAATGGTATGCATGAATTTTATTATAACTTGAACTTGAACTTGGCCTTTTTGTGCCCCCACTTTAGGGGGGGGGGGTATTTAGATTTACCCTTCTGTCCGTCCGTCTGTATAGATACTTAGGTGGCTATGGGAACAATGAATAGGTTATAGTAATTTTCCTTTGATGCTATTCATTCCGTAAGCTCTTATGTGGTTACTTTTTCTCTTACATGGCTAAAAGAACAAGAGAGAACAAAAGAGTAGCCACTTGAATACCAAACTTTAAGGACGTTCGTCCTTCCGTCTGTCCATTTTATGTCACACATAGTAGAGTCATATTACTTTACAGAAATGTTGCTCAACATGTGTAGTTGAGTGTTTTTGGGGATTTATTCAGTATTTGTAGAATTATTGCCCTTGACTTGGTAAAAATTTGCAATTTTCAACTTGTGTCGCACATAGCTCAAAAAGTATTTGATCTAGAGTCATGAAACTCTTTACAGGAATATTGCTCAGCATGTGAAGTTGTGCACCTGGGGTTACCCTTGTAGATTTTCTTCTGATTTGTCAGAGTTATTGCCCTTGACTTACCAAAAAGTTGCAATTTTTAACTTGTGTTGCACGTATCTCAAAAAATATTAACCTAGAGTCATGAAACTGGAATGTTGCTGAGCATATGAGGTTGTGCACCTTAAGTTTCTCTTGTACATTTTTTGAAATTTGAAATGTTCAACTTGCATGTAGCTCAAAAAGTTTTTTTGACCTAGGGTCATGAAACTACAGGAATGTTGATCAGCATGTGAAATTGTGCACCTGGGGTTCACTTGTGGATTTATTATACCCCCACCACAAAATGTGGGGGGGGGCTATAATGGATTCGCTTTGTCGCGTCGGTCGGTCCGTCTGTCGGTCCGTCCGTCCGTCTCCATTTTCGTGTCCGCTCTATAACTCCTATACCAATTGAAGGATTTCCTTCAAACTTGGCTCAAATGTTCACCTCAACAAGGTGATGTGCAGAACCCATATTGCCCATGTATCAGTTCAAGGTCAAGGTCACAATTGAAGGTCAAATATCAAACACTATCAAATATTACACAGTATGTCGTGTCCGCTCTGTAAGTCCTACACTACTTGATAGGTTTTCTTCAAACTTGGCTCAAATGTTCACCTCAACCAGGGGATGTGCAGAACCCATGTCGCCCATGTGTCGGCTCACGGTCAAGGTCACAATTGAAGGTCAAATATCAAACAATTGAAGGTCAAATATCAAACAATTAAATATTACACAATTACACAGTATGTTGTGTCCGCTCTGTAAGTCCTACACTACTTGAAAGATTTTCTTCAAACTTGGCTCAAATGTTCACCTCAACAAGGGTATATGCAGAACCCATGTTGCCCATGTGCCAGCTCAAGATCAAGGTCACAATTGAAGGTCAAATATCAAACAATCAAATATTACTGAGTATGTTGTGTCCGCACTGTAAGTCCTATACTAATTGAAAGATTTTCTTCAAACTTAACTCAAATATTCACCTCAACAAGGGGATGTGCAGAATCCATGTTGCCCATGTGTCAGCTTATGGTCAAGGTCACAATTGAAGGTCTAATATCAAACAATCGAATATTACACAGTATGTCATTTCCGCTCTGTAAGTCCTACACTAATTGAAAGATTTTCTTCAATCTTGGCTCAAATGTTCATCTCAACCAGGGGATGTGCAGAACTGATGTCACTCTTTTGCTGGCTTAAGGTCAAGGTCACACTTTAAGGTCAAAAATTGACTTAGAAAATATTCTTAAATTTTAACATTTATTTGAATATTTCTAAATCTAGAAAAGGTATTTGCTTGAAACTTAAAATATTTTTGAAGGGTCACAATTCCGATATGCTGTTCGTTCAAGTTTCATAACTCTGTATTGCATTTTACGAAAGTTATGCCCCTTTTTAAGTCTTCAAATTGACATACAATCAAATATTAGACAATATGTTGTGTCCGCTCTATAAATCCTATACTAATGGAAGAATTTTCTTCAAACCTTACTCAAATTTTCACCTCAACAAGGTTATGTGCAGAATCCATGTCACCTTTGTGCCGGCTAAAGGTCAAGGTCACACTTGAAAGTCAGAAATTGACTTAGAAAATGTTCTTAAATTTTAACATGTACTTGAATAATTCTGAAACTTAAGCGCAGGCATTTGCTTGAAACTTAAAAGATATATGAGGTGTGGCAAATAAGATATGCAGGTCAAGTTTCATTACTCTGTATTGCATTTTGACAAAGTTATGCCCCTTTTTAAGTCTTCAAATTTACATACAACCAATACTAGACAATATATTGTGTCTACTCTATAAATTCTATACTAATGGAAGGATTTTCTTCAAACTTTACTCAAATGTTCAACCAAACTGGGTGATGTGCAAAACCCATCTTACCCTTGTGCCAGATTAAGGTCAAGGCCACACTTGAAGGTCAAAAATTGACTTATAAATAAATGTTTAATACATTGGGAAAATGAAAGGTTATTTGTAACTGTTTCGAACATGATTTGATAATATATATTTATACTATTACCTGTACAATTAGTCTTTTTTTCACCATTTGTGCCACATAAGTTATTCCCTTAACCACCTTTCCAAGTGGTCTTCTGTCAAGGATTTGGTGGGGGTATGAATCGCATTCAGCGATAGTTCTAGTTTAGTTTTGTCAAAGTTATTGCCATTGACTTACTAAAAATTTGCAATTTTCAATTTGTGTCGAGCAGAGCTCAAAAAAAGTATTTAACCTAGAGTCATGAAACTCAACAAGAATGTTGGTCAGCATGTTCAGTTCGACACTTAGGGTTTCACTTGTGGATTTATATAGTATTTCTAGAGTTATTACCCTTGACTTAGTTAAAGCCATTCCATTATGTTGTGTTATTTGTTCCTTGAGTGTTTGAGATAGAATCAACCAACTTTACTGGAGTAATGATCAACATCACTGTGAGGCTATGCACCTGGGGTTTGGCATGTTGATTTTTTTCAGTTTTGTTAGAGTTAATAACTTATTGCCCTTGACATAGTATAAATTTGTAATTTTCAACTTGTTTATGCATAGCTCAAAAAGTATTTGACCTGTAGGCCTGAAAGTTTACAAGAATGTCTGCATGTGTACTTATGCACCTTGGGGTTTGTTTGTGGATTTATTCAGGATTTGTAAAGTTCTTGCCCTTTACTTAGTACAAATGTAAAAGATTTTAAATTTTTAACTTATGGCACCTGTAGCCCAAATATTCTCTATAGAGAGGCCGTGTGTCATGAGAAAAATTCAGGTGTCTACGGCAAAGGTCAAGGTCAAATAACAAAAAACCCATTCATTTGCAAGTATAACTTCTACATACATAGATGGATTTTAATATAACTAAACAGTTGTCTTGTGCAAAATGAAGGTCAATGTCACAAGAGGTCAAAGGTCAAATAAAATGTTAAGATTTTGTCCAGTCTATATCTAGCTCATTCTTTGAAGGATGAAAAAATAATTTGGTGCAAATGTTTACCATGATAGAAAATCCAGGCCTGCCGCTCAAATGTCATGGTCACACTTGGGGTTTAGCACAAAACCTGTGTCCTGAGTGTAACTTTACACGCGTGAAGGGATTTTCATACAGCTTTGGACAAATATTCTCCATATTGAGGTGGAAAATAGCGCGAAAATTCCGGGTGTCTATAGCAAAGGTTAAGGTCAAATGAAAAATAAAACATTCATTTGCAAGTATAACTTCTACAGTGTATATGCATGGATTGATTTTAATATAACTTAAAATAAATGTTCTCCATGTTGAGTTGAGTTGTCTTTTGCAAATTGAAGGTCAAGGTCTCAAAAGGTCAAATAAAAATACCAAAATTTGTTTCTCCGCACTGTATCTTGCTTATGCTTTGAAGTATTATGCTTAGTTGAAAGAGGACTTTTGTCAAGTCCGCTTGACTGAGCTCCACACAGTTGTCAAAATGGCTGTTTTGTATTTGTATGTGCCTCCAAATTTGTCCATACCATTACTTCTTCGTGCAAGGATTATTTTTCAAATAACATGATTCTTTTTTACAAAAATGTTCACCATGAGACTTTGTTTCATGCACATGATCCAGGCCACCAGGTCAGAGGTTAAGGTCACCTAAGATGTTGCAATGTCAAGATTTTGCCTTGGGTATTATACCGAAAGAAGTTCTACTGTAAATAACATTAAACAGCAATATTTTTGTTCTAAGGTCACTGTGATGCATGGAGATGTCAGTAGAAGGAAGATGAGAGTGTTGGTCTTGTTTAATGGAGCGGAACGTGTGAGACGTGTACTTGATGAACTTGACATCAATGTTGAGTTGTTTTGTGTAGTTGACAATGTGTATGCTCTCAGGAAAGATAAGGTAACTTGGTTAAATGGTGTAAACGTCACGTCACACAAACTGGATTATAGATCAGCTCGTCTTATCACATTGTACTTGTATTTAAATGCCCAGTACTGGGATCCTACGTATATCCGGACAAAATATGATGTTTTTTTGCTGTAACTTTTATTTAAAATAATAAAAAAAGAATGGAATTTGACCCAATAATTTTGAGTTCTTAATACAAGAAAACATTACTTTAACAATCATGAAATTAAACATTTGACCGTAGAAATGTGTCTTTAAAGTAGGGCATTATAAGAGAGAAAAAATCGTGTAGACAGCTCAATTTACCGGACATTGCGTTTCAACATTTTTGAAGTATTGAATTGTAATTAATCTTTAAATAATCAGCAAAGAAACTTCGACTATTGAAAGGCAAGGTAAATTTATTGGAAAAAACCAGTATGTCAACAAAACTAGACACGGCAGCCATGCTTGTTACAAAGAAGCCAATATATGGGGTGTAATTGAAATTAACACTATACACTCAACTAACGTATTGATTCTTCATGAATCTTAAACGTATGAAACATTTTGATATTCAAATGGAATTCTGTTCTTTGTCATAAAGTTTCCTTTTGGTCATCATGTAGTGTGTTACAAAAGCCATAAAATCTATTTTATTTACATATCATGTAGAGTTTCCTCCTATGGGCGTAACCCGTTTCCTCATATATTTTTTAATTTGAATTTCTTTGTAAAAGACAACAACGAGATGCTGTTTGAACTAAATTTATCATTAGAATATGTTATGATTGTCTCCTAAGTTAATGTTGAGAAGAATTAAAAGTAAAACCTATCTAAAATAACCCATTAAGGGCCACAATATTTGGGCATGCGCAGAACAGATTATTTCCCCGCATGACCAGGTCATGGAATAATTAGTAAACAAAAGGGTATGTTAGTAAATAAAGAACTGAATCAACAATATTTGCCTGAGAGTGGTTTTGTTGTTATTTACTTTGAAATAGAAAGTGTGTAGGATTCAGACCAGATGATTTTTTAATCGAAACAAAAAATAAAGCCTTATTTGACAGGAATAGAATTTGTCCGGTAAACTGATTGTCCGGTAACTATGTAGGACCCCAGTATGCTTCAGGAATGCTATCATTTTTATTTCTCAAAAACTTTATATTTTTGGTATCTTGTTCACTTTCCAAAACAAATACTCATTTGCCATATAATTGACCTAGTATTTGCTCCTTTTGCTATGTTGGCAATTGTTAGTTATAGTGAATTAGTATTTTGTATGGAAGTCAAAATACATTTGTTTACATTTTGCTAACTTTACGACATATAATATTGCACATTCAGTGCTACTTTTCTCAGCTGTTAAACATCAAACATGCTTTAAATCAATTGTCAAACAAATAATCAAATATTATAAAGAATTTAATTAATACAGATTTCTGAGGCATAATGTGCCTTTAAGGTATACATTTTGTAGTAGTGTGAGTGTTCAGGCTTATTCAGAATCTGTAGTCTCGTCTAAATCACTAAATAGCTTCTTGTGATGAAAAGCTATGATCCCTTAGTGATCTTTACTGAAAAAGCAAGAAATTGTTTTGGTAGGCTGAACAAGATTATAGAAAGGGCCAACAGTAAACAAACTTTTAAATGACATCTTGTCCTTTGCCTACCATCTGATAGATTTTGATGAGACTCAGGAGGAAAACAGTGACTTTATTATTCCCCACTTTCAAAGTGGTGGTACATATGTGTATATTGATTTGCACATTGACAAATGGTCCAGCTACTGTGTCAGCAAAAGGACACCTACAACCATAAGAAATGTTGTCATAATACAAATGCCATAATTTGCTGCCTTGAGTTAACTATCATAACATGGCTAACAAATTTAGTTAAAATGCCTGCAGCTTAGGCTAACAGATTTAGTTAAAATGCCTTTAGCCTAGCTCAAAGTGGCCATGATTTAGTACAACAAAGTTTATTATACCCCTGCACAACAAAGTTGTAAGGGGGGTATACTGGAATAAGCTTGTCCGTCCGGCTGTCCGTCGGTTTTTGCTTGTCCGCCCAATAACTTAAGATTCCTTTGACCCACAGTCTTCATATTTGGCATGTAGGTTAGTCATGGTTAGTAGATGACCCCTATTGATTTTGAGGTCACCAGGTCCAAGGTCAAGGTCACAGGGGACTTGACTTCAAAATGCTTGTCCGCCCAATAACTTATGATTCCTTTGACCCACATTCTTCATATTTGGCATACAGGTTAGTCATGATTAGTGACCCCTATTCATTTTGAGGTCACCAGGTCAAAGGTCAAGGTCACAGGGGCCTTGACTTCAAAATGCTTGTCCGCCAAATAACTTAAGATTCCTTTGACCCACAGTCTTCATATTTGGCATGGAGGTTAGTCATGATTAGTAGATGACCCTTATTGATTTTTAGGTCACCAGGTCAAAGGTCAAGGTCATAGGGGCCTTGATTTCAAAAAGCGTGTCTGCCCAATTACTAAAGATTTCTTTGACCCACAGTCTTCATATTTGGCATGGAGGTTAGTCATTATTAGAAAATGACCCCTATTGATTTTGAGGACACCAGGTAAAAGGTCAAGGTCACAGGGGCCTTGACTTCAAAATGCTTGTCCTCCGAATAACTTAAGATTCCTTTGACCCAAAGTCTTCATATTTGCATACAGGTTAGTCATGATTAGTAGATGACCCCCTATTGATTTTGAGGTCACCAGGTCAAAGGTCACAGGGGCCTTGACTTCAAAATGGTTGTCGGTCAAATAACTTATGATTCCTTTCATTCCTAGTCTTCATATTTGGCATGTAGGTTAGTCATAATTAGTAGATGACCCTACTTGATTTTTAGGTCACCAAGCCAAAGGTCAAGGTCACAGGGGCCTTGACTTCAAAAAGATTGTCCGCCCAATAACTTAAGATTCCTTTGACCCGAAGTCTTCATATTTGGCATGGAGGTTAGTCATGATTGGTAGATGACCCCTATTGATTTTGAGGTCACCAGGTCAAAGGTCAAGGTCACAGGGACCTTGACTTCAAAATGCTTGTCCGCCCAATAACTAAAGATTCCTTTGACCCACAGTCTTCATATTTGGCATGTAGGTTAGTCATGAGTAGTAGATGACCCCTATTGATTTTGAGGTCACCAGGTAAAAGGTCAAGGTCACAGGGGCCTTGAATGGAAAAAGCTTGTCTTCCCAATAACTTAAGATTCCTTTGACCCACAGTCTTCATATTTGGCATGGAGGTTAGTCATGATAAGTAGATGACCCCTATTCATTTTGAGGTCACCAGGTCAAAGATCAAGGACACGGGTGCCTTGACTTCAAAATGCTTGTCTGCCCAATAACTTAAGATTCCTTTGACCCACAGTCTTCATATTTGGCATGGAGGTTAGTCATGATTAGTAGATGACCCCTATTGATTTTGAGGTCAAAGGTCAAGGTCACAGGGGCCTTGACTTCATAATGCTTGTCCGCCCCAAAACTTAAGATTCCTTTGACCCACAGTCTTCATATTTGGCATGTAGGTTAGTCATGAGTAGTAGATGACCCCTATTGATTTTGAGGTCACCAGGTCAAAGGTCTAGGTCACAGGGGCCTTGACTTCATAATGCTTGTCCGCCCCAAAACTTAAGATTCCTTTGACCCACAGTCTTCATATTTGGCATGTAGGTTAGTCATGAGTAGTAGATGACCCCTATTAATTTTGAGGTCACCAGGTCAAAGGTCTAGGTCACGGGGGCATTGAATGGAAAAAGCTTGTCTTCCCAATAACTTAAGATTCCTTTGACCCACAGTCTTCATATTTGGCATGGAGGTTAGTCATGATAAGTAGATGACCCCTATTTATTTTGAGGTCACCAGGTCAAAGGTCAAGGTCACAGGAGCCTTGAGTGAAAAGATATTGTCCGCCCAATAACTTAAGAATCCTTTGACATACAGTCTACATATTTGGCATGGAGGTTAGTCATGATAAGTAGATGACCCCTATTCATTTTGAGGTCACCAGGACAAAGGTCACGGGCCTTGAGTGAAAAGATATTGTCCGCCCAATTACTTAAGAATCCTTTGACCTACAGTCTACATATTTGGCATGGAGGTTAGTCATGATTAGTAGATGACCCTTATTGATTTTAAGGTCAAAGGTAAACGTCACAGGGGCCTTGACTAATAAAAGCTTGTCCGCCCAATTACCTTAGAATCCTTTGACCCACAGTCTTCATATTTGGCTTGGAAGTTGGTCATGATAAGTAGATGACCCCTATTGATTTGAGGTCACTGGGTCAAAGGTCAAGGTCACAGGGGCCTTTAGTTCAAAAGCTTTTCTGCTCAATTGCATAAGAATGCTTTGCTCAATCATATTTAGTATTGAGGTTGGTTATGACTATTAGATGACCCCTTTTGATTTTTAGGTGACTGTGTCAAAGGTCAAGGTCACAGGGGCTTTTATTACAATAAGCTTGTCTGCTCAAATGCTTAAGAATGCCTGTCCACAGTGTATTGATTTTGACATTTTCACATTTGAAGCATATAATTATGTTCTCATATATTCATCATAAAACACCTCCAGGCAAAGCTGCATGAATGGGGGGGGGGGGTATTGAAGTCATTCAGTGGCAGTTTCAGTTTTGAGGTCAGTAGGTCAAAGGTAAAGGTCACTTTGATCTTTGCCACTAAAAACATGTAGAATACATAACTTAACAATGCACTGGCTTACTTCCCTCAGATTTGGCTGGGAGGTTGTCCTTGAGCTCTAAATGACCACTGTTGAGTCTGACAAGGTGGTATGTGGTTCACGCCATGACAGTGGCAGTTCTAGTTTGTTAAGTGTTAAGCTGTTATAATTACCATATTTCGTCGATTTCTCCTGCAAAACATTAAAGGGGTTCGTTCCAACATGGAACAGTAATAAATTTATTCATGTGATAATATTATTACTAATAAATATCATATTGAATTCAATTAATGAATTTAATGCTGTTTGATTTTGCTTCAGCTAAAACAGTTATGTCCAATAGATCTTGTTGTGGCATTTCCACCGTGTCATGATCTGGATGTTACTAACAAGGAACAAACAGGGTTCAGTAAGTTATTTTTCTAGCAAACAATTACTTTGTAGTAAAACAAACTTACAATATCACATGCACGCACACACATACACATTAAAACACAAAAAATTATGCCAGTTAAGATTTAAGACAGTAAACCATTGAATTTTGTCCAACATGTCATCTGTGTATGTACTGGGCATACAATAACGGGACAGGCAACTAGACACTAATGCCGCTTTATGTTATGCCCCAAGTACATATTTAAACCTTGCCCCAAGTACATATTTAAACCTTTACTACACAAAATATTTTAAATGGACTTTCCATTTTTCAATTTGGACAACAAAAGCATTCATCATTAACAGGAAATTTTTCAAATTATGTACAGGTTGAATTAGCAAATCACAAGTGCTGTCATGTGACCAGAAGGCACAGATGTGCTGGCAGATCTTCAAGGTCACCACTGATGGGTAGAATCATCCCCCCCCAGCATGCTTGGTTTTAAAAGAAATTTGATAAGCTTCAAGTAGTTCAAGTAGTAATGATGTTACCTAGTTAATTCATTATTTGTGAATCAGTTGTGAAAATTGATTTCCCAGCTTAGTATCAATAGCTAGTTGAAACCTGAAATTTGTTCAGCAACTTATTGATATATTCACAGATGAAACAGGGAGTATGATGATAAAGTTCTGGTTGATTGTACAGGACATTGAAGTAATGTGTAAGGGCATGAATGATGTATACTGGTTAGTAGAATGCAAGGCATCAATGAGGACCAAGTATAGAGAACTCTTGTCCAACTTCTTTGAGGTTTGTTTGGCAGTTTTGTTTTCAAATAGTAATTAAGTGAACCCTGAAATATGTTAGCCGGGTCAAATTGCAGATATGATACGGGAGTCTAAAGAGAAAAGAATATGTTGTTAATTCATTGCCTTTATTCTTTCTCATTAAAACATGGCGGAGACTGCCGTTGCATAACAACATGTGGCATAATAACATTTAACTTATTGTTCACAACAAAAAAATACCAATGTTTCAACTTTACTCATGTCTAGGGGTACATGTAAAGAGTATTAAAATATAAATCATTATAATGATAATACTGCAATGTAAAATGTTCGTAATGAATAATAATAACCTGATTAACAACACAACCTAATTTATGCCCCCCTTCAAAGAAGTGGGGGTATATTGCTTTGCATGTCTGTCGGTCGGTCTGTCGGTCCGTAGACCAAATGGTTTCCAAGTGATAACTAAAGAACGCTTAGGCCTAGGAACTTCAAACTTAGTATGATGATTGTTCATGACCAGTAGATGACCCCTATTGATTTTGGGGTCAAAGGTCAAGGTCACATTGACCTTGTAGGTAAAAACGGTTTTTGAGAGATAACTAAAGAACGCTTAGGCCTAGGAACTTCAAACATGGTATGATGATTGTTCATGACCATCAGATGCCCCCTATTGATTTTGGAGTCAAAGGTCAAGGTCACATTGACCTTGTAGGCAAAAACTGTTTCAGAGTGATAACTAAAGAACACTTAGGCCTAGGAACTTCAAACTTGGTATGATGATTGTTCATGACCAGCAGATGACCCCTATTGATTTTTGGGTTAATGGGTCAAAGGTCAAGGACACATTGACCTTGTAGGTAAAACAGTTTCTGATCAATAACTAAAGAACGCTTAGGCCTAGGAACTTCATACTTGGTTTGATGATTGTTCATGACCAGCAGATAATCCTTATTGATTTAGGGATTAATGGGTCAAAGGTCAAGGTCACATTGACCTTGTTGGTAAAAATGGTTTCCGATCAATAACTGAAGAACCCTTAGGCCTAAGAACTTCAAACCAAACTTGGTATGATGATTGTTCATGACCAGCAGATGACCCCTATTGATTTTGGGGTCAAAGGTCAAGGTCATTGACCTTGTAGGTAAAAACGGTTTCCAATCATAACTAAAGAACGCTTAGGCCTAGGAACTTCAAACTTGGTATGATGATTGTTCATGACCAGCTGATGACACCTATTGGTTTTGGGATCAAAGGTCAAGGTCACATTGGCCTTGTAGGTAAAAACAGTTTCTGATCTATAACTGAAGAACCCTAAGGCCTAGGAACTTCAAACTTGATATGATGATTGTTCATGACCAGCAGATGACCCCTATAGATTTTGGGGTCAATTGTTAAGGTCACATTAACCTTGTAGGCAAAAACAGTTTAAGATCATTAATTAACGACCCATGGGCTGTTGGCCCTCAAACTTGGTAGATGCATTAGACTTGATCAGAAGATGACCCCTATTGATTTTGAGGTCAGGGGAACAAAGATCAAGGTTGCATTGACCTTGTATTTCAAAATGGTTTTCTATCAATAATTGGACAACACATGGACCCTTGTTCTTCAAGCTTTACAGATGCATTGCTTTTGGTCAGAAGATGACCTCAATGTATTTTTGGCGTTAAGGGGCCAGAGGTCAAGATCACATTGACCTTATAGGTAACAACGCTTTCTGATCAAAATCCCAACTCATGGGCCCTTTCCTTCAAACTTCACAGGTGCATTGGTCTTGGCCAGTAGATAACCCCTATTGATTTAAGGGTCAAAGGTCAATGTCGTATTGACCTTGTATGTAAAGACTGTTTCTGACCAATAACTCAACAACTCAAGTTGCCTTGGTTGATATCTTTTTTATTAAATTTTAAAATCCTTTTGGTATACACATTTCAAGGTCTTATGTAGTATAGCAACTTGCCTGTCATTAATGAGGCCTACATGATTCATAAAATTTATGCATATATTATTTGGTAAGATTTGAAATAACTTTGTCATAAAATTGCTGCACACAACCTTTGCGGTCACAATTACCTAGTGACTAGTCATGACCAGTAATTAACCCTTATTGATTTTTTGGTCACTAGGTCAAAAGTCAGTCATAATAACCTGATCACATGACTAATTGGCTGTCGATAGGGGAATACATGTTCTACAAACATATCTTGTTATTTATATATCTGATTTACATTCGAACATATTAAACTGATGATTACAAAACTGTTACTCTTCACTGTTATGCATAAAACAATAACAACATAAATTATTGGCATAAATGATAATACTGACAATCAATATATTTGGCACTTACAACTGTCTATACTTAACAGTAGATGAAAGATAATAATGAAATTTTATATGTTCAACTTGAAAAAATAGCATATAAACAATGTTCAAAACAATATTTTATATGTTCGACTTTAAGTTGTTTATTCGCCTTTGGGTTCATTTACCGAGCTCTTTCCAAATATGGCATAATACATGTTTTTCTAAATAATTGTCTAAACAATTATTAAACTGTATTTCACTTATAAAAAGTTCATAATTATCGTGTAAAATGCTTATTAACAATAAACACTAAAGTTTTAATGATATAAAAGTTGAATATTAAAATACGTATGTAAAACATTTATCTGGGAAAACATTATGACTCTAAACTTAAAAAATGATTGCAAGCTAAACAATACCATGTCAGTGATAACAGTTATGATAAACGAAAATATCAATGCATAAACCTATTGGGGAAAGTCTTTTTCTTTCTCTTACTTGTAAAAACTTACCTATTAGTAAAAAGAAAAGAATATGTTGCTAATTCAGTGCCTTTATTCTTTCTCATTAAAACATGGCTGTGACTGCGCCAAATTACTGCAAAGAATAACTTACGTAAAGAACGCTCAACATTTTTTATAGGGGTGCCTTCATCACCCTCACAAATAGATAAAATACAGCTATGTGCTGAATACAACTTTTCTCTTGGACAGAATAACTACTGCTGATGTTTTTATCTAACTGCCTCAATGATCATTTGTCTCTCACTTATTCAATTAGTAGCTGGTTATTAGTTTAGGTTACCTGGAAACCTCAGTTAGGTGTGGATTACTGAGAGTTGACCAAAAATGTATTTAAATCAAAGCACAGAAGGCGCTGAATTTGTTTGGGTCTCAGAATGTCAGAAAGGTGAAGGTTGTGAGATTATAAACCAATTTGTTTTTGTATAGTGCCACCAGTGCTTTCCAGCGTTTTAATTGTAGTTAATTGGCTTTAAGACTAATTGCAACACTGATATTCAATTCAATGTTTATTTGATTTAAACAATTTGAAAAAAAAAGAGTTGCCTTCCTGGATTTGAACTCCAGACCCCTCGGCCACGGTGAACTTATATGTAATGGGTCTGAAGAAAACCATATTATTCTAAATTAGGGTTTGTTACTCTTATTATTTCGATGCTAACTGTTGTTCAACACAGATGTTAATAATCATGGAGCTTATTATAAGCATGTATATCTATAAAGGATAAAACAATATTAGAATATTCGGGAATTATTTTGCTTGAAAATTAATGCGCCCTTTACGCAGTGATCTCCCCTGAATTTTTTCGGCGTTAGTGTACATATAAAGGGAAGTAACCGCTTCAAAAAAGCGGCCTACTTTCGGCATTTGCAATTAACAGCATCAGACTCTGAAATTTCGCTACCATTATTTGTTTGGTCTGACGACCCAAACAAATAAAAAATGGCTGTAAAAACCAACCAAATAAACAAACAAAAATTATCCAACTGCCAGATATTTACTGGACAAAGTAAAAGAATTATGTATGAAAATGATGCTAAGGATAAAATAAGTATAACTTTAGGTTTTCCCAGGAGTCGAATTTCTAAGACTAACCCAGATGTATTTTTTTCATTTTGTCTTGTTTGTTTCAGAGAGAACCATGCATGTGGGATACACAGTTTTTCTTACCAAGTGTTTATAATCCCAAGTTTTATTGGGGAAATATTCCTTCCTTATACAGGTATGGTATTTCTGTAACTTGTAAACAAAATTCTTATTAAAGTAAAATTATAGTAAAATATTTTTCACTATAACTTTTTCATTTCTTAAGGTATCAACTTCAAATATATGTTCCTTATCATCAACCACATCTTATGTGACAAGGTTCATAACTCTAGCACCAATATTTTCAGATTTATCTCCCCTAGAACTTAGAATTTTCCTTAAAAAATATTATTTTTTACTGTAACTTCTTTATTACTTAAGGGATTCAAATATATGTTCCTTATCATCAACGACATCTTATGTGACAAGGTTCATAACTCTAGCACCAATATTTTCAGATTTATCTCCCCTTGAACTTAGAATTTTCCTTAAAAAAATATTATTTTTTACTGTTACTTCTTTATTACTCAAGGGATCAACTTCATACTTCAAATATATGTTCCTTATCATCAACCACATCTTATGTGATAAGGTTCATAACTCTAGCACCAATATTTTTAGATTTATCTCCCCTTGAACTTAGAATTTTCCTTAAAAAATATTATTTTTGACTGTAGCTTCTTTATTTCTTAAGGGATCAACTTCACACTTCAAATATATGTTTTTCATCATCAACCACATCTTATGTGACTCTAGCTCCAATATTTTCAGATTTATCTCCCCTTGAACTTAGAATTTTCCTTAAATATTATTATTAAATATTATATTTTACTGTTATTTTTATAAAATTGGAGGGATCAACTTCATACTTCAATTATATGTTCCTTATCATTCACCACGTCTTATATGACAAGGTTTATAACTAGTACCAATGTTGCAAGAATTATCTCCGAGTTAACTAAGATTTTTTTACTTAAAAAATGTTTTTTACTATAACTTCTTTAGTTTTAAAGGTATGTTCCTCAAACTTCAAATACATAACTCTAGTGTGACTATTTCCAGAATTCCCCCCCCCCCCCCTTGAACTTGGAATTCATGTTAACAACAATAACTTCTTGTGATAAGAAGAAGTATATTTATATCATAAATGATTTTTCTTTTATAGTTTTGTATTCCTTACTGCGTCCAGTATTTTATTAGTCGAGCTTAGCTCTCTCCTGTGACAGCTCTTGTTTAGCTTAGCTATTTGATATTTGACATGTTGCATTGTCTTTTTTCCACTACCAAATACGTCACATTATATCATTGGGTTGAAAATTGGCCCTTCTTTTTTAATTTCCTTTACTGAATAACATTTATAGTATAAGCTGTACAAGCTAAAAATAATGAAATCATTTATCAATAAATATTTCTGCCTTATTACATCGCTTCACAGACTTTTATGAAAGTCATTTGGAATGATGATGGCTCTTCACTGAACAAAATGGCATCAAGAGCTAAAAAAAGGAAAATAAGCTGTTAACAACATCCACACAACTACTTAAAATCTTTGGATGAAAAATCCTTGTTAACACTCTTGTGGTCACATCTTTGACTCAGTTGTCATCAAACTTCACCAGGATGCTTGTCTAGGTAATTGCTTGGATGAGTTTTAACATGGCTCATCTGTGATGAAAAACTAGATCACAGAAGTTAAAAATAGGAAAATCTTGTTTACTCTCTAGTGGCAACTGTTGTTATCCAAATGTCTGCAAGTTTGTTTTGATGATTTCTAGGTCAAGTTTGAATTTGGATCACCTGGGGTCAAAAAGTAGGTCACATGCCATATTTCCAGCCACCCAGATAGGGGGATTTGGCTTTAAAAAGCAGGGGATTTGGACCAAAAGTAGGGGGATTTTTAAGCAAGCACAAACCAGTCGTAATCTTAAAACGATGCAAACATATAATTAAATTTCCCCCATTTTTGTGTCGCCTCTACGGAGTAGTGGCGACATATAGGGATCACTTCTCCGTCGTCTGTCTGTCCGTCCGTCCGTCCGTCACAAAACTTGTCCGGACTACTCCTCATAAACTACTGGTGCAATTTCATCCAAACTTTACAGGAATGATCAGTACCAAGTCTAGTTGTGCATATTGTCAGCATTTTCCGGTTCAATGATTTTTGTCAGAGTTATAGCCCTTTAATAATTTTTAATTTTAAAGTTTGTCCAGACTACTTCTCTTATACCACTAATGCAATTTCAATGAATCTTTACAGGATTGATCTGTAGCTCAAGTCCTTGCGCATATTGCACGGGTTTTCCGGTTGAATGATTTTTGGCCGAGTTATGGCCCTTTGATAAAAAGGTGTTTTTTTCTGTGTGTTGCCAGATACACAAAAGCTTGTCCGGACTACTCCTCATAAACTACTGGTGCAATTTCATCCAAACTTTACAGGAATGATCAGTACCAAGTCTAGTTGTGCATATTGTCAGCATTTTCCGGTTCAATGATTTTTGTCAGACTTATGGCCCTTTAATAATTTTTATTTTTAAAGTTTGTCCGGACTAACTTCTCTTATACCACTAATGCAATTTCAATGAAACTTTACAGGATAGATCTGTAGCTTAAGTCCTTGCGCATATTGCACGGGTTTTCCGGTTGAATGATTTTTGGCCGAGTTATGGCCCTTTGATAAAAAGGTGTTTTTTTTCTGTGTGTTGCCAGATACGCAAAAGGTTTTCCGGACTACTCCTCATAAACTACTGGTGCAATTTTATCCAAACTTTACAGGAATGATCAGTACCAAGTCTAGTTGTGCACTGTCCATCTGTCTGTCCGTCTGTCACAAAATTTGACCCAACATGAAATTGGCCATCATGAGGCGACACATGTGATTACTGATCGCTCTTGTATTATGAAAATGAACATTTTTACAAGATCATTTGATATTTTCAAGTTTTAACATACATGACGGTGTGAAGGAATAATATGTAAACAATTGCAAATAAACATAGGTACTTAAATATTTGATGTAAATAAAATAAGAATCCCTGTAAAACAAATATAATTAATTGCATGTATATCATATAAAATACATTTTTATTTTTATATCAGATAAATATTGAATCATTTTAGTACAAATAAACTTGAATTTGATGCATTCAAAATCCTTACAATAAATATACTTTAACAGCCAAAGTTTTTTCTCTTTAAATGAAAGGTAAAGTTTTTTCTCTTTAAATGAAAGGTATCAACATTTTCATGGAGAATTTTTGAAAAAAATCTGACACAAATCTTAATCCAGTTTACTCAGGTCATTATGTACTTCACACCTCAATTTGTTAACACACATCGATTACATCATGCTTACCATATATGGCAGTAGGAAGTCTATACGCTACTGCAGTACGTCACTTGATACCTGTACTGTATACATGTAAACTATGTAATTGATGAAGGGTTGTGTAAAGGTTGTTTGGAGTATACTGACTACTGGATAATAATTGGACTTAATTATTTTGGCCCTTTGGGTGTTAAAACAGGTATTATTTATTATTTATCTGATTGAAATGGATTTTTACCCCTCAGTGTTTGTTGGTTACAGTGAGACAAAGCTAGTTATACCCCCAAAAACGAAGTTTGGGGGGGGGGGGGTATATAGGAGTCACCCGGTGGTCGGTCGGTCGGTCGGTCCAGACGTCCGTTGCATTTTCCTTGTCCGGAGCATAACTTGAAGACTAATGGTTGGAATTCAATATAACTACATACAATGGTCAAGCACATTGAGAGAAAGTGCAGTGCATAAGAACCATAACTCTACCTTGACTAATTACAGAGTTATTGCCCTTTGTTAATTTTCCTTGTCCGGGGCATAACTTGAAAACTACTGGTTGGAATTCAAAACAACTTCATACAATTGTCAAACACAATAAGGGGAAGTGCAGTGCACAAGAACCATAACTATCCAAAGTAATCACAGAGTTATTGCCCTTTGTTACTTTTCCATTGATTTTTTTGTCCGGACCATAACTTGAAGACTAATGGTTGGAATTCAATATAACTACATACAATGGTCAAGCACATTGAGAGGAAGTGCAGTGCATAAGAACCATAACTCTATCTTGACTAATTACAGAGTGATTGCCCTTTGTTACTTTTCCTTGTCCAGGGCATAACTTGAAAACTACTGGTTGGAATTCAAAACAACTTCATACAATTGTCAAACACAATAAGGGGAAGTGCAGGGCACAAGAATCATAACTCTATCTAAAGTAATTACAGAGTTATTGCCCTTTGTTACTTTTCCATTGCCTTTTTTGTCCGGACCATAACTTGAAGACTAATGGTTGGAATTCAATATAACTACATACAATGGTCAAGCACATTGAGAGGAAGTGCAGTGCATAAGAACCATAACTCTATCTTGACTAATTACAGAGTTATTGCCCTTTGTTACTTTTCCTTGTCCGGGGCATAACTTGAAAACTACTGGTTGGAATTCAATACAACTTCATACAGTTGTCAAGGACATTAAAAGGAAGTGCAGGGCACAAGAATCATAACTCTATCTAAAGTAATTACAGAGTTATTGCCCTTAGTTATTTTTCCATTGCTTTTTTGTCCGGAGCATAACTTGAAGACTAACGGTTGGAATTCAATAAATTTCATACAATGGTCAAGTACATTGAGAGGAAGTGCAGTGCACAAGAACTATAACTCCATCTTGACTAATTACAGAGTTATTGCCCTTTGTTACCTTTCCTTGTCCAGAGCATAACTTGAAAACTACTGTTTGGAATTCAATACAACTTCATACAGATGTCAGGGCCATTAAAATAAAGTGCTGTGCACAAGAGTTATAACTCCATTTTGACAAAATACAGAGTAACTGCCCTTTCATACTTTTACTTGTCCGGAGAATAACTGAAAAGGTACTGGTTGGAATTCGAAACAACTTCATACAATGGTCAAGCACAATAAGAGGAAGTGTAGTGCACAAGAACTATAACTCCATCTTCAGTATTTATAGAGTTATTGCCCTTTGTTCCTTTTCTTTGTCTTTCTGGACTTATTACAGAGTAATTAAATAAAACTTCATCAATGGCCAACCACATTGAAAGGAAATGTAACATACAAGAACCATAACTATCTTTAATTGCCCACAACCATAACTCTATATTTCAATTCTTTTACAAGGTATTCTGTTACTAGTAACATCCTCATTTCCGAAGCAGTCTTGTGGGGGTATTAATCACATTTAGTGATAGTTCTAGTTTATTTTATTTTTGCAACAACATAGATCACAGTTACATAATAAGAAATACTTAATATAAAAAATAATAGTTTCAAACATTGCTAATCTGTGATTCTTTGAGTTTCTATTACCTGATCATTATTTTTTTTATCTACTTCTTATCAACTTCAAATTGAAAATCGGGGGATTTTGATCCCACGGCGGGAGATCGGGAGACACTGTTGAAAATCGGGGTTTTTGTCCCCTGGCGGGGGATACGGCATGTATGGCCCACATATGGTAAAACCTTGTGAACACTCTAGTGGTCACATTTTTAACTCAATTGACATCAAACTTGGTCAGGATGCTTGTCTAAGTCATTGCTCAAATTAGTTTGATTGGTCAGGTGAGCAATCTAGGCCATCTTGTTTAAGATACATACATGTTTTATTTTCTTTGCAGCTCATTTCAGTATTACAAAGAAAAGAAAGGATATATTACAACTCTTAGCCAGGAGTCATTCTATGCTACAAGTGATAACAGATCTGCCCAGGTACTGAGTCTTACTGAAAAAAAGCTTCTAAATCATATTAATTTAAGGATGGAAATTAAATAATGCTGTCAATATGAAAGTATTTTATTTGCCATTTTGAATGTTTCATTTTGGAAGTTCAGTATGTTTCCCCAATATTTAGTATCTAAAACCTGCACCTAAACAGTTTTAAACAATAACGAACTTGATTATTAAAAATGCAGAATGAATTTAATATTACATGTACCAGAAGTTGGGGAGATTATGTCAGACTTATAGTTTCTTTTCTTTTTGCTTAAAATGTGCTGTCATTTCAATTATTACCAAAATAAGCAGATCATTTATCCTTACTGTTGTACTTTATCCATTCATCTGCTTTTAAAATATGATGGACTTGTTTTGTTTGTTTGTTTCTTTTTACGCCTTTTTCCAACAGTATTTCAGTCATATAGGCGGGTAGTTTCCTAACCATCGTTCCTGGAGAGTTACACCAGTACTAGACTACCTTCCTCCACGCTTAACTACCAAATTATCTCCCAGGGATCGAACCTATGCCAGAGAGGTAACTGGATTAGAAGTCATCGACTCTAACCCCTCGACCACGGAGGCGGTTATATGATGGACTATTCATTTTGTTAATATTCCAGAACTTTTCATTAAGGTCTACATTCAGACTGTTAATCATGCAAATTTTGTCTTGTTTTGCCTGTATTTGCACGCACTGTTTGGCATTACATTGTGGCATCACATAAACAAGGTCTATACAGCGTTAATGACTGAATAAAAGATATTGATTTTCAGATTTATTTTCTTAGTTAGACCACTTCTATGACTGTGATAGTTTTCAAAACCAAATTCAACAAAAGTTGTTTTTTACATATCAGATTTTTTAAACAAAATGGCAAAAGAAGTCCCTTAAAATAAATATGATTTTGACTCCACCCAGTTTCATATTTATATTTCATATTTATCTTTTACAAATATGAAATATATTTGACTGATATAACACCATATTGCATGGGTAAAATTAAATAAAATATCATATTTTTAGGTAAAGAGGTCTAACAACAATGTTACAGTGATAAACAATAAGAAGGCTAAAAGAAACACAGAAAATGATAACAAGTTAGGAACAGATGACAAGGAAGAGGAAAGCATTGACACAGACGACAATCAAGGGGAAGGTATTGACATAGACGACAATCAAGGGGAAGGTATTGACATAGACAACAATCAAGGGGAAGGTATTGACATAGACGACAATCAAGGGGAAGGTATTGACATAGACAACAATCAAGGGGAAGGTATTGACATAGACAACAATCAAGGGGAAGGTATTGACATAGACAACAATCAAGGGGAAGGTATTGACATAGACAACAATCAAGGGGAAGGTATTGACACAGATGACTTACAGGAGGACCGTGACTCTGATGACATACAATCCACTGAACCAGAAATAAACACTGCTTACAACACAACAACTTCTCTACCAGTGAAATTTGATTGGAAAGATAATTGCATACTTGCAGATGAAAGGTAACTTTCATTAACATATCCTGTGCTCAAAGACTTGGTGAGCCCTTGTGATCGCATGATGTGTTTCCTTTATCAACAATTTCTTTCAACATATTTTAAAGCACCTGGTACTTCACTGGTGACAAAGGTTTATCACTTTTAGTTTGGTTAAAGTGAATTGGTCTACAATGGGCTCATTTTTCATATGTATTCCAAATGGTGATAAAAACAACATAAATGTATCATTTGGATATTCTTATGAAATAGTTTTTGAAAAAAAAATGTGTGTATAGTTTTGAAGTGATTTAGTATGAAAATTATATATATATATATTACGGGGGTGGAACCCCATATGAATCTCAAAAATGAGCATCGGTAAAAATTATATGTGAATTTCCGCTGCACCAGATGTGAAGCATAACACCAGATGTGACTGTAAAAATAGGTCAATCGCAGGGTAAGTTTTCATCTTTTTAAACATTTATTTAAAATTAAATCCATTTTTTAAGAAAATCGAAATATGATTCTACCCTCCTGATTCTCTTCTATATTACCCATTTTTGTTTTGGATTTCTATGCAGTCTTTATCGAGATATTCTTTCACATGTGGGTTCTGATGTGTCCAAAACATGCAATGTGAAAGAAGAAGTGTCACTAAACAGACTCAAAAAACAGAGATTTTACAAAATCTCACTACAGACCAATGCTTAACATTCAGACAAATCCTGATTTAAACATTTATTGAGATTTGGCTACAAACGAAGGAATAACTGCTCAAAATTGCATTTGAGCTCCATATGTGCTGAAGAGATCCATAAGTGATGTAGAAAACCATCTACAAAACTACGGACCACTTCTATATAGTCATTAAATAGCAAATGTATAGAAACAATTAAGGTATCGTAGCTTTGGCCGAAAGTTCAATTTTAACATTAGTGTGTTTGATCACCACATTGACGGCTCATTAGCTTACGCTCATTAGAAATACTGAAAGGCCCGAGTACATGAAATAATAGTCGAGTTCGATATATTATAACTGTTTTATCGCATGATTAACAGAAATTAGAATTTTAATAAACATAAAATTTCAATTTATAATTGGCTTCTCTTCATTAATTTAATTCCCCAATCGGAACCTCGGTTACTTTTTATGTAAGTGTCAATGACCGTTATTGTAAACCCCACACCATATTAGCCAATCAGAAGTAGTTGGGTGTTTCTAAATTGCATTGCTGTAAATAATTGGGACGCGCCAGTATTACAGTAACGACCGTTTCATCAGCATTTTGAATGGCATGCCAAAAGATGGATTTTTAAATTTATATCAGTTACAGAGCAGGCATAAAATAAGTCAAATAGGCATTGACCCATAATTGGGACTATGGGCATGAAGTGAACCATGTAAATATTATGCAAGGACGTTCCTTGATGTGGAAAATAAATATGCAAAGTTTCTTTGATCATTTTCAAAAAGTTTATCAATAGCTTTCTTACAGCGTCCTAACAAATTCAAATATGCTTCACATTACTCCCCTATTTAGCAGACAGTGCAGTCGAGTGAATAATTAGTAAATTGATTAATGCATGACGGCATAAAAAAGGAATGATTGCAGTACACATGACGTCAATAAATCAAAATAAGCAAGGCCATCCCACCATATCTACGTATTTTCAAAACCTTTACGTATGCAGAATGTCTTTTATCTCTTTCTATATTGATACTATGTTATTCAAGCTCGTCTCGTGAAAATGTGTCTATTTTGGATAATAATGTTTTATTACAGAATGATACACACTAGAATAAAATATAGATTGCTTTATGAAAGTGATGCGTAATTATGTTGCTAATTTTTAATATTATGCACATATGGATCTCTTCAGCACATATGGAGCTCAAATGCAATTTTGAGCAGCGATTCCCTTCGTTTGTAGCTAAATCTCAATAAATGTTTAAGGCGACAACGGACACTTTCCGTGGTATACCATAAATGTCATTTAAACCAACTTATTTATTTAAATTTTGTGCATTAAGTGTCTTTGATCTTCATACAAAATATCATTTTTGAAAAAATGCCTTTGTAAATTATTGATTTTGATAAAAAAATTCTATAATTTTAAACCGTCATTTCAAAGTCATTTTTTATTTATTTGTCATCAAACTCTTAGAATATAATTATGATATCTGGGGAACCGTGTCTCAGATTTTTTCTATCTTTTCCCAAAAAAATATTACGTAACATCAAACAATTTATGCGACTTTTTTCACCATACATATTACGTAATTAAAGATTATAAAGTCGCTGATTGAGCAAACAAAAATCCCTGACACGATTCCCTCCGTAATTGAATTCCCTTTCATGTGCTTTAAACCGCATGACAATTGCTTGTTTATTAAAAAAGTTATGCCGATTCAAAGTTAGTCTGACGCGCATCAAACGAAGAGTCATAAATCGGCTGTTCTCTGTCAGACCCCTACGTTTTCCGTTAAATTATTGTATAACACGCAAATATCACACCAAAGGGGGTGACACGATGTGGTAATACATACTCTAACAACTTTTATGACCCAGTGACATCTGACCAATTAAAAAGCAGCTGATAAATATCATTTTATAGCAGAATTCCTTCAAATCTTAACGTGATTTACTGTCCATCTGGTATCTGTCGCACATGTCACGTGACTATCGTTAAAATTTGAGGCACTCAGTGGGATAAAATGGAATGCATTTAACGTTCGTACTGCTATCCGTAATCATATTGTTTCACTTTTGATGTTATTATTATTATCATCATTATTATTATAATATTATATCAGTGTCACTCTGCCTGTGTATTCGTGTATGAAATTCCGTTAAAATATAAATTAAGATGAACGGAAAGCTGTGCTCCTGACAGGACTTTGTTTTTAAAGTCTGTGCATGTAACCTTGTTGCATTAATAAGAACGGGATGTTATATATTTTTTGTCTGATCAGTTCATATAAAATGCTTGATATAATTTAATAGAAATAAAAGGTATTTCTCAATCAATATGATGATGATGTTCTTGACTTTTTATTATCCTGAATTTTATCTATGACAGCATAAATAGATTCAGTTTTCTTCTGGGACATAGTTTACAATAAATTGTGTTCGATTTACTAGTGAACAAAGATATTCAAAAAACCATTCACTGAAAATATATTTTCATATCATTTTCATTGATTCATAAAGAATTAATCATCCGAAACGACTATCATAAAAATATTTTAGAAATTTGTAAGGGACACTTGACACCTGTCATATATAGGCGTTCACATAAAAAGTGTTTTGTCTGTTTCTTTTGACCATTGTTAGAAAACCAAATTTTGGGAAATTGGGGAAAAGGCAAGGGCCCCTTGAATCTTACTTAATTTCTTTTAAACCCCAATATAAAATTTTCTAACAGTTACGGTTGGAGAAAAAAAATTTTCCCCCACACTTTTGGAATAAAAGGCGCTACTTTATTGGTTTTTAAACCCTTTTGGCTGATATCATTCTTCAACCGCAAATGTAAAATTAAAATGTTAAAACCTTTTAGCGGGCCCAATTTCCCTTTAATTTTTGAAAGGGATATTTTAAAGGGTTTTTTAACATACAAAGGGTTTTGAAATTTTTTCTTTAAAAAAAGGGTACCAGAAATTTTTATTGTACATTTTAACTTAAACTGGGTATTTTTCGATTTAAAATACAATCCGGAAATTTTCAAGATTTATTGTGGTTTCATTGATGCCTAAATTTGGGGGCGGCACGTTTTGGGATAATTTTAAACGGGTTTTAACCCGCATAGCAAATAAAAAAAAATAATTTTATTTTCGTAAAAATTATTATTTTTAAAAACAATTTTCGGGCACTAATGCTTAAAATTTTAAAATTCAAAAATGTTTTTTCAAAAAATTTTTAAAATTTTACTTTGCAAAAAATTTTTGGTTTTAATTTTTAGTGTTTGGGACCCCGGGTACCTTAAATCAGGATTTTTTTCGGGAATTTTTAAGCACCCGGTCGGGTAGTGAAGTTTTTCGAAAAATCGGGGTTTTTTTTTTAGTTCTTTTTATTTTACATTTTCTTTCTTCACATTGCATTGTTTTGGGGAAAAAAAGAAAACCCCCACGAGGAAAAAGAATACCCTCGATGAAGTCCAAAAAAAAAATTTGGGGTAATATAGAGGAGGGGTAAAGGAGGGTTTTAGAATTCCACATTTCGATTTTTTTAAAAAAGGGATTAAATTTTTTATCTAAATGTTTTAAAAAGATGAAAATTTTACCTGCGATTGCCCTTTTTTTTTCCCAGTAAACATCTGGGTGTTATGTTTCCCCATCTGGTGCACCCGGAAAAATTCACATATTTAATTTTTACCAATGCCCCAATTTTTGAGATACATAGGGGGTTTCATTCCCCGGGGTATTGATTTTGATGTTTTAAAAAATCTAAAACCCACTATTATTTTTGCAAATACATTTTTAAGATTGTTGATAGGAATCAAGAAAATCTAGCATTTCCCAAAAACCGCCCTTTAAATTTAATTCTTTCCTTTTTGTTTTTTTCATCATAAATTTTTAAATTTTATTATCAACCTAATTACTATTTCAAAGTATTACCGGGCCTTGCTTATTTAAAATTAACCCCGGGAGGCCCAATTAAAAACCCTTTTTTCAAAAAAGGGGAACCCCTCGTAAAAAATTTTTCAAACCTTTTTATCAGCCCGGAGGTAATTGTTAAATACAAATTCCCTTTGATTTTTTAAATTCGATTTGGCATGATTACACGTAATCATGTTAATTGAATTACCTTTTGCCCACCAAATAAAAATTTTTATATTTTTATAATTTTAATTTGTAAAAATTTAATCAATTACAGCCGCTTTTAAATTTCAGTCAAAGTAATTATGATACAATTGGATTGACATTTTCGCATTGACTATCAGATATTTAAACAGGAAACAAATTTGAATTGTCAAAGGATGCCTTTATTTTTCATTTGCATTACAGTTTTAATTTTTTTGTTATGGGGTTACCAGTTTTACATTTGGGAATGTAATCTATTACAGTCAATCCAAAATCAATTACAAAATTCAAATTACTGAATCATTGTAAATCATCCCCGCAGGTCTTGACCCTATTATGGACATTTTTCTTTTCATT